TCATAAAGAACTGTGAAAGTTACTGTGAAGAAATCTATTATTAATGTATTTAAATTTATAATGATTATAAATATTATCTAAATATATACCTTAACATTAAATACCTTAAATAGATACATTAAGTACCTTGAATAAATACCTTAACATTGAATTGTAAACATAAATTGACATCCTGTTGACAAATACGTTATAAAACTATTTAAGCAAGAATTGTTCGTACTGGAAAGCAATATGTTAAAAGGTATTGTAAAGCAATTAATAAAGAAGAGTTTTAGAATATGTGTTGTTGAAATTAAGGGTAAAAAGATCTGATAAGTGTAATTAAGAAAATTTGCACTTGCATTTTATAATAACCCAGTTTTTATAAAATGTAAGGGGTTTATTTAAGTTTTAAATAATATTTAAAAAATCCTTTTTTTTATTCCCTTTCAGAAATATTCAGAGAAAGTTAAGTACTATTTAACGTATTTCGCTATTAAAATAAAAGGGGCTCTAATTTGAAATGGACCGAATAGAGCATTAATTATAAATAGACTTGGATTTTTCTATTTAAAACATGCCTCAGAAGCTAGAAAATCATGTTATATTTGAGAAAGTATTTTAGTAAGAAGATTTATAAATGGAAAATAAATAATGCATAATTTTAATATTAATAATACAATAAACTTTGATCTTAATTTTTGGAATCCTTAACCGAATGAAATCGAATTCCGTTAAAATTTTCTGCTAATGTAATTAAGGAAAACTTGTGAAAATATTTGATTCAAATTAAACCGTTCTGTGAAAAGTATAGCATTTAATTCCGTTCAATATGAAATGTTGTTTAAAAATGTATTCTTTTCATATGCTTAGGACTCTGAAGTATTGTAGAAAAAGAAAATATATGCATTTATTTACGACGTAATTACAAAATATTTACATCCGATTGTTTAATGGTAAATGACTCAATGTTTTGGTCACCACAAAGGGATCGCCAGTTATTCAAAGCAGTATATGGGGGAAACCGGTTACGGCCTCTCCATCTTACTTCCTACCTCCATGTAATAACCACGGTAGGAATTCGTCTCTGGTGTTCTTTCCTGATCGAATATCTGAAGTGTTGCTATAGCGTTGCTTCCGATCGTTACTGTGTCACTTAGACAAGGTTTCATGAATGCAATATGGGGCAAGTCAATGCCCGGCCCCAAACAGTTCACCCAAACTCAAGAATTGCAGCAAATGTTTAAGTGGAAAAGATTACATGGAAACTTTCCCACTTTTAAATCCCGCATAGCCCACATTTAGCACTCGGGGATTATTTTGTTTTTCCGAGGTTGAAGGAGCATTTATCTAGAATGAGACTCTCTTCAGATAGTGATGTTGAAACAACCACCGAGAACTAGTTCAGTGGGCAGGGAAGTGATGTCTACAAAGCAGGGTTAAACAAGTTGGTCCTTCGTTTAGCTAAATGCCTCAATAGATTAGGTGATTATGTGGGAAAATAACAGTTAAGTACTTCTCTTAATTTCCTTTTGTATTTTCTGTTTATTGTTTAATAAATAATTTTTTTATTATCTATGTCACCTTTTCCTTTTGGATCCACCCTCGTATCTCCCAGTGAATGCAATTTCTTCAAATGTAGCTAAAATTCCGCTTGCTTTCTGTATTATAAAAGGTTAAACAATATTTGCTTGTTTTCTTTAAAGTTCTAGTATCTTCTCCTGTAAGAATTAATAAAGCTGTGCGTCATACAGAAATAGAATCTTTTGGAGTTAATTTTATGAAAAAAATAAAATTTGCTTAGTTTTAAAATTTAGCATGTGTGTAGCACTGCTGTCAGAAGTACTAATGATATTTCTGGAATTAAAAATAAGTATTCTTTTATGTTTTCAGTCAACAAGTGCGATTTACCTGGAATCCTGGGTTGCTCATAAATTTGCAATCCTTTGAATGAAAGTTGCACATGTAGGCCTGGATTTTTCCTCTTATCCGATAAGAAAACCTGCCGTAAGTTGTTCTGTATCTCAATATAGAGCTAAACTAATTTAGTATACCAAATGATAATTTTGAAACTGCTAAATATATTCATAATTTCATAATTTAAAGTGACGTAACTCCAAAGAAAAAAGAAATTTCGGACTGATGCGGGACACTGTTCCTGCTGTAACATCGGACACATAACAGGAATTTTCAAGTAATTTATAACACTGAATCCCTAAAAAGTAATATCGTTATTAAAGCTTTAGTTCTCAACGAAAACGAGCTTCTCATTTTCATTAAACATAGAGCACTTACCCATGATGATATTACTTAATATGTCTCACTTTTTAATGAATATATGAAAATATGGACAATTACTGTAGTTCTTTATATATGGCAGAATGTAAAATAAAGTAGGAGGAAGTGTAAGTACAGGTAAAAACAAGGTTTGCGTTAAAAGTTAATTATAAAACATCAGTCAAGTGTAAGATTGAAATCTACGTTTCATTTTGTTCCAAACTTCGTTTTCTTTGGTTTGTCTTCAATATGTTGTTTAATTATTAGTATTAGATATATTTTCCTCTTCCTTTACAGAAACTCCTCAGCTTATATACTCCCAAAGCTAAGTTGCATGCTGGTAGGAAATACAATAAGAAGAACCACCATAATACAAATCATAATTATTATAATTAGTTAAATAACATAAAAACTTTACATTTTCTCCACTAGAACTTGAATAATTGTTAACGGAGGTCTTTGACGACCTTGCCTAAGATTTTAAATTCTAAGATCTAGCAATAATTAAGATAGTAAAGGTTGAGCCGCCAACCTTTACAATCACTTAATTTAAATGTCTGAATTTATACTGTTTTGAATAAATTCAGATAGCTATCTTTCACGCCATACCTTCTTTTAAACATCTGGAAGGAAAGACAGGTCAGCCACAGAAATACTTAAATTTGCAACTTTTCAGGTTGCCTCTCATAAATTTATATACCGTTTCACATTTTGCCCTTCATATTTTTAAGCTCATTTTCTCATCCTCGTCCTCCAGCATTTGTAAAACAAGAGCTAGTAATTTTGCAACAGCTACGTATTAACCAAATTCCTACACTGTTAATAGCTTAAATACACTAGACTTCAAAGGCACTATATTTCAAAAAATCTATACCTAATATGTTCCTAAGCTAGAACCTATACCTAATGTTAAATTTCGTTTAACTTTGCAAGTGTTTCTGGGGAGACTAACTTTTAAATAACCTATAACCTCATTTACACTACGCTGGCTTTTCTTTATATCAATTCATTTGCTAGCTTTTACTTTAATTGTACAATACACATCATCGAAACACATTTAACTGTTACAGTACATTTCGCTTAACTTATGCAGATTACTTAATTTAAATTTCAACTAGCCGTTTCTCTGGTGCATTCCTTCTCGCTCGTTCTCTTGTATTTAGACCAATGAATGGTTTCCCTTTCCGTCGGTCTTAAAGTTTCGAAGCTTTAAGTGTTTAAGTGCTTGTGGTCGGCCCACATATCTCAGTTATCTTTGCACTTTTCTTTGACAGTTGGATATATTCTTAGTTCTCTTCTTTCTTCTTGTCCTCCTCCGTTCTCTATAATTTTGCTTCTTGACGCCTGCTCGAACATCGGCCTTTTCTTTTCTTTCTCGCATTTCTTGGATCTTGCAATATAGTGACCAGAAAAGTTCCAAAGTTGATCCCTTCAAAAGAATCCTTTTTTTTTCTTTGTGGATCTTGTAATACAGAAATCGGTGTTGGATCCACTGTAATCCTTGATGACCCCTTCATTGCTCAAACGAGGTGATTCCTGCAATACCTCAGTAACAGAATCATATCTGCCCGCTCATAATAACTATAAATCTGATTCATATTTGCTTTTAGGGATTCAAACTTTTGTCCTTTTAAAAACATCATTTTTCTCTGATGCCCTCAATTACGAAGGGACCTTTGAACTTGTTACAAATTTTGCCCACCTTTGCTTCTGGTGCACAAGAAAGAGAATGCTTAGTTTTGGAAACTTCATCTCCCACTATAAAATCAACCTTCCGCCTATTCTTATCATAATAAAATGTTTGCTTTGCACGGGCTAAATTAACTCTAAACTATAAGACAGTTTTAAAAAATCATTTTAATTATTTTATCAAGCATCTCTGTTACATCTTGTATCAAAATACATTGTCAACGGCCGGACCCTACTGAAAGTACCGGTTCTCGTCCGATCAAAATATATTAAAATTGTGGCAAACTTCAGATAATATGCTTTTGTAATATAATTTCAAAATAATTTGTAATATGTGTGTCTGTAAATATTTACAAAAATACATTTTCAACTCTTCTGTGTTAAGATCCAATACTTATTAATATCTGAAAAACTTATTTTGAATTAATAGAAATAATAGTATTAATTAGGCGTATTCTTAAAAAAGTGAGAATTAAATGGCCGATATCTTACTTCTCTTCACAGTATTATCTTTTGTAATTTTGAAAAATGCCTTAAGACTCATTATCATTTATATCTTTAAAATAAAGCAGATTTGGATTTGCCATCCAGTAGGGATAGTGATTTGTGATGCTGACTGTCATACGGTAAAGCTAGGTTCTAATCCCAGAGAAGGCATTCATGTTTTGAAAGCCTATAGCGTCAGGCACGTCGAGTAAGCGTATAGTCAAGGAGCAGTCGAAACATAAGTCGTAAGCAACTGCTTATAAGCGTATCGTCAAAAGGGCACTCAAAAAACATGGCAAACCAAAATCCTTTGAGTAGGTTAAACATGTAACAAAGTTTAACCATTTTGAAAGATAAGGTCTGTAGCAGAGAAAATAACTTTCAGTAGTAAAACTTTCTCCTGAGTTATTTTAGTTTTTTGACTTCTAAAGTAATCGCTGTTCGGTTTGGTATTTTAATCTAAATTCCTCCTGAGTTTTTAAAACATTTCATCTCAGTTCACTTTCAAATCATGAGCTTGTATATAGCTTTAAACCTTCTAAAGTAGCATTTTTCTTTCGACATTATAGGAATTTCTAATCCTGGCGGTCGCTGTAATAAGAATGATTGTGGAGTGGGAACATGTGTGACTACAGAAGAAAGGGATTTCTGCATCTGTCCTAATACACATATCTCTAAGGGATTAAAATGCATAGGTAGACTTTATTCTATTTTTAAAATGGTACTGCAAAATCAAGTTTCTCATGAAAATTATTATGTAGAATCTTTTTTATTAGTTTAAATTGCATTAAAAATCACAGGAATTATGATTATTTGAATTATAACGTAAAAATAACTGAATATATAAAACACACAAAAATTATTTTAGATATTTTTTATTTTTCATTATATATGTATACGTTACGGTGAATCACCGAAATCTGGAGAATGTCGACTTTCACCGGTGAATGTCAACATTCACATAGTCGCTTGGTGTATGTCCGAAATATTTTCCAAATACTCTTATTTCTGACTTACACCGGTGAATATTGACATTCACCATGTACTAATGGTGAATGTTGAACATATAAGAATATCATATTTCCTTCTCCGTAATTCATTCCCGAAAAAACGCACTTGAGACTCAGAATAAGAACTTAAGAATATATAAACTTAAAACACACAGTACATTCAAAATGAGAAAGGAAAATAATAGAAGTATAAACTTACCAAATTATGTGATTCAAATCTTGTTTATTGCAACAACTTAAACTATTATGGCACTTTATAACCTCTCTTTTCGACTTTCAACAGAGCATATCTGTGATTGTCGACATACACCGGTGAGGGTCCGAATACACAAGAATGTAGTGCAATATTCGATCTTTCACCGACGTATTTGGTGAATGTTGACATTCTCCGGTGAAAGTCGACATTCTCCAATTTCGGTCTTTCACGGTAACATATACATGTTTATATATATATGTGAGATTAAGATGTAGTAAGTATTCTACAAGTAGGATAATTAAACTAAATATTTAAAAAAAATTCAATAAATGTATTTTTCATTATCATAAAATTAGGGATATGTAATAAATTAGCTTACAACAATTCCTAATTGTTATAAAGATTTCTCTGAATTATCCGCAAGTTATTTTTAGAAAATATATATCTCTGCCATATAAACTTATGTGGTAACTACAAAATTCAATTTTAAAAAAAATCTGAAAAATTTCAGATTTTATATTACGCCCAAAGACACATCTTTTTAAAATTTTGTGTGTTAACTTTATTTATTAAATATTACGTTCGTCATACTTAAAAAATAAAATTCAATTCAACAGCAATATCACAAAATAATTTAAAAAGAGCAATCTTTAGAATTTACGATAGACAGTCTCACACGCTAGAAAAGAAAGTTTTTCTTTTTTTTTTTTTTTTTTTTTTTTTTTTTTTTTTTTTTTTTTTTGTTACAGTGTTGCCATCGCTCGCTTTGAAATCTTTGAGTTTTGCTAATCAAACATTAGTTAAAGTTTTACAAAATATAAAATAAAATAATAAAATTTATTATTTAATTTCTTTAAATACAATGCAAGGCTCTAATATTCGGTGGCAACATTTTAAAAGTGAAAAGCCGTTTATAGTGAACCAAAGTAAAGTGCCGAAACGAAATTAATAGTCCTTCTGGGCAAATTGCCTCTTTGGGCTAGTAAAAATGTATGAAAGAATGTCAGACATAACGATGATGTCAAAATTTAAGTTTCTGCTAATGAGAATCCATGATTTAAAAGCCTAATTGTACTAATTTTCTAGCTGAAGTCTAACTAAACCTCTTTTCCTCGTCTAACCCCCTGAGAGGCATAACCGCTGTTATCCGATCATCACATATTTAGTCATTCGGTATATCGTAGTTTCTAATTTAAACCATATTCATTTTGTACTTTTTAATGATGTAAACATAATCGCAATGAATGGTGGTTTATGGAAGAGACTAAAATAAGTAATTACACAGATTTATATACCAAATTGTTTTAATAGACGTCTTCAGATTCAAATAGCCGTACCATTCAAAGGGCTAAAATAAACTAAGAAACATAGTGACTAAAACAGTAGTCATTTTTATCCTCTAACATAATTTCCTTTTCTTTTCACAAGAGCACTAGAAAATAAAACACATAAAATATTTCTACTTTAGATGCAGAACAGACTAATATTGAAACTACATGCTTTGTTATTAGAGATTAATGCGAAAACATTTTATTTTTCAGACCTCTGTACAGCTAAGGAGTATCCAAAAAGAGTCTGCCCCGGTGAAGAATGTTTGCCAGACGAAATATTTGGCTTCAAGTGTAAATGCGAAGGCAAATTAACTTATGATAAAAATGGTGTCACTTGCAGAAGTAAGTCAGTAACTTTCGTCTGTTATTAATGCTACGAACCATTTTAAAGATCTTAATGGGAAACGAGAAGTTTCTTTTGTCCGACACTTTTGTTCTGAAGTTTCAGGGAATAGGCTGGCTGCGTGGTTGCGATTTATAGTTTCCCAGTGTATAGTGAGAATATGATTCAGTTTCCCTTAAAAAGTCCTTCACCAAAGGTATCTTCTCTAGACAAATAGAGTGTGTGCTTGCCATATTTAAATAACCTGATCTGTAATCATAATAATGTATAAAGTTCAAATAACAAACCAGAGCTTATGAGTCAATTGCAGATGTTGTATTTTTCTGGCACTGGTTTCACCAGAATTTCTTCAAAATGTTCTTACTACAGTTCGTAAAGACTACGGTTTCAGAGAAATTATATCGAAGCCAGCATATTTCAACATTGATTTATGCAATTACTTTTATGCCACTTTGGGGACACAATGGATTACTGGACCAGTCCACTGGCCACCTGGATTTACTGATCCACCAGCCGATTTATTGAGCCTCGAGTGCCACATATGGAGACAATAAATTCCGTCCTTTTTGAGAACTCAACTGAATCCCTCTGTCAAATATCCATTGTGACTACGCGTATGTGAGGAATGCCTAGAATTTTTGAAATTATCCGCCAAATTAACCAGTCACTTAATCGACGCTGCGAAACACGCATCGCTGTTGGTTAACACAGATTTAAGCAATTATTGTAAAGATTGCTGCAAAATTGCACTTGTCAACGATGCTGCCATTAATCAATTTATGCTTCCTCTAATACCTCATTTCTTGTGTATGCACCTCAACGAGTCACCTTGTACGCATAAATTTATCTTCTAAAAATTTTTTTTCAATATCTATCTGTTACCACTGAACGTTTATCCCATGAATTCGGGATTCTTGTATATTTAACTAATACTGAATAACTGAATTTGCGGACATCGAATTATAGAATAGATTTGCAGACTTCGAATAATAGCATATTTTTATCTATTTATTTTCAGCCTTTTAACTTTAGTATACCTCTTAATACCGTATGTCTCTTTACAAGTCAGATAAATGTCATTTCAGCTTACTGTATGGCCATAGGAAGGCTAGCAGGCTACCATATAATACATCAATGCATGCTTTCTTATTAGGACATTTTCACATATTTTTGCTATGTTGCTTTTCATGTTTGTATCCTGTCAAGTTCTCGTATTCTGGTTATTGCAGTTCTTTTTTCTTCCAACTCCGAATATATACTTCATTGCAGTTAAATCTAAATTGTCTCATGCGTGAATAATACGAATATCCGTTATTAAGTGCGCGGGCAATGAAAAAGGTTACAGGCCTTTGAATTAGAATTTACCCTTTGGCATTTATCAAAGATGAGGCCTAGACTTTTCATGTTTGTTGCGTTTGTGCATACTCAAGGTTCATAAAAATTGTCCAGAGCTTGCCACCATCAATATTATTCTTCCTTCTAATTATATGGCAGAAACAGTAAGGTCATATTAGTAATTGCTATTTCTATTCTGAAAACTTAATGGTTTATCTACAGAATCAGAAAGTAAAATAGGAGCAATCAGATTACCAAATACCTGACTTTGCCAGAACTTCCTTACTACTTGATGAGGAGGAGGACTATGATGACGATGTTGATGAATACTTTGATAATAATGAATACATAATCTGAGGATGACGTATACTTTCCCGATTAAACCCCAAAATGAGTAAAGAATTAAAGAAAAAGGGATGGTAATACCTAACGAAAAGATTAAAGGTACAAGCAAGCTGTGTATTTAATAATCCAACCTGTATGCCTTCAGTAACAGAAGTAGCTGATTGGATTTCTCAGCGAGAATTTCTGTGTCTTAGGAACTAAACATATGGTAAAAGTGAAAATTTAGGCTATGTTCATATTTCAAAAGGATAAAGAAGGTTTATCGATTTCTGAAAACTGAATTTAAAGGCAGTGCTACTTCAAAACTGCAACATATGTCTGCTCTATTCCAATTGTTTGCTCTTCTTATGGTACATTAAATAAACTTAAGGTTGTATTAAACACTGTTGTTTTTTCGAGTTATAGTCGTAAAAAGAAAGAGAAAGATCATTACATCAGAAAACAGTGGCTTAAATAACATTCTTTCACACAGAATAAATTAATATAGGCAACTCCCTGTCAAATGTGTAGATTTGAAAAACCTTACTTCCGCGGTTCAATCTGAAGTTGTGAAAGATATTTGCAAAAACGTTGGTCGAAGAAGGAAAACATTTGTTCCAAAAATCGGAAAACCACGTTCCAAAAAATGTGTCATGACAAGGTAGAAAATGGAGTTTTGTGGGCCCACAGATACGTTAAATGATATGCGATTCCAAATTTCAGAACATGACGAGTGACACTATAAATGATGCATGAAACCAACCCATTGAAAGCAGTATAGGCTAACTTTCTTAGAAATAACATAGCGAATATAGTTAGATTTATTTCACATAGTGCAAATAGTGAATAATATGTAACTCATCACTCAAAAATATATTTCAGGTTAGTCATATACACAGTTACCTCAAATCTTAGATTAGTAACGCATAGGGTGAACTATTTCATCAGGAAGTTTCTTCTTCTGAGAAATTAGTATATATGGAAATGAATTTGGGATATGCTAGACAAATACTGTTCATTTTTGATGACAGAAGTTTTAAAAAGCCGATATAAAGAAAGAAACCAAAGAAAACATTTTCCTGTTCTTCACTATTTAAATAGGTATAACAGTATTATAAAATTTAGGTATAATTCGTAAAAATATGAAAAATCCAATGCTTTTAAACGATGGTACGTGACAGAACATTTTTACATCCAAATCTTTATTAATCAACTTCATTTTAAATATTTCTAATATCTCACACTTTTACTGAGAGTACAAGAGAAGCTCTAAATATGTTGCATAGTGAACTATAACTGTTCATTCTGTAATATTATGTTCTAAATTCTGCACACCTGGGTGCATGATGGCGGGATCCCCTAACCAAGAGACAATTTATTTTAAGGACCTTACGGTATCTAGATCAATGGATTCATTGTCATCTGATGCAGGAAAAATTAGATTGCATTTATGGATTTATTACTTCCTGTATAACTCAAGAAACGGATAAAAAGTCTGAGTGAAGAATTAGTAGACAGTTATTGGTGTTAGATTATAGAAATTTCATAACTAAAAAATGTTTTTAATGAAGAAATAATAGCTAGCTAGCTTAGACCGGTTTAATGAGAGCATTTTACTTCTTCAAAGATCAGTCTTACCTAAATAAAAGATTAGCTTACTTCGAAGACGTAAAAGCTCTTTGATATTTGACATTAAATTGCACAATCTATGGAAAATTAATTTTTGAGAAAATTACAGTTATCTAGTAATTTTATCGTAATGTAACTCATTTGTTAGCTGTTTAGTTTGCTAAAATATATGTTTTCGTCCCTTTGTTTTACTCAAACTATATTACGTTTGTGTAATCCAGTTTTCAAACTTATTTTCATTAATTTTCAAAATGTTAATTATATTTAAATAAACTTTTGAAACAGAATAAAATTAGATTAAGTATTTAAAAAATTCCAAACTGAACAATTTCTAATTTAGTGACTATATTCTGCATTCGAAAGATTTTAAGTTTATATTTCTTTTTAACAGAAAAAGTGATGTGTACCGAAGGTCGTGGAATTAAAATCTGTGCCACCAAATCTGCTACTTGTGTAGAAGACTCTGATGCTTCCGATGGATATAGATGTGAATGTGGTAAGGATCAAGAAAAAGATTCTAATGGTATATGCCAAGGTAAATTCATAAATTTAGAATTCAAAATTGTATATCAATTATTCAGAGTAATATAACAGTAATTCTCTTTTATACATCAATGATGTTAACATACATGTTTTAAATTTATAAAATACACTATTGTTCTTATATATCAAACTAAACAGTAATCTTCAACTTAACACAATAAACGCATTCATTTACAAAAGCAATCATGCATCGTCGGAATCGAAGAAAATTTTCTATGTAGGATAGTAACGTAAATTTAAGTAAACGATTTCGGTATAAGAGGAAACGTTTAGTTTATTGCAGAAAAATAAACACATGAAAGGAATCTGTCAAGTCACCTGTTGGAAGCATACAAGATATAATACGGACAGATGTGGAGACATCAAAATTTGTATAATGTGCCGCATAACTATTTATAGTTACTGCAATTGAATGATGCAAAACAGTGCAGCTTCAAAAGTGAAGTTTACTGTAGTTCTAAGCCTGCTTTATTGAAGACAAATCCGCAATCATGCAGACCAGGAAAGGGCAGAATGCCAACTATTGTCCTGCTCCTAAATAACTATTAAATTCCTTGCTATGACAGGCAATACATGTGGGTGGAGGGTGTCACCTTTGTTGAATACATCGCCGTTCAGTCCCCCAGATGATTATCAGAAACATCTGCTGTCGAATATGATGCCTTTCCAAACCATTATACCAGTTGTGAAGGATGTGCGGCCCTTTGCAGAAGATTGAGGCGTTGGTAGGATTTATAGTGCGAATACGTCGTTATCCCTGCCAGTATCAAATCTTGATTCGGCACTGAAAACAACGCGGATCCATTTCGTTACAGTCCCCCCTTTTTTTGTTTTTAGTCCAAAGGGGCTTTGTTCCTGAAGGACTATTGTTTTCGTTTTGCGATTTTGAGTTGGTTCACTATAAATGTCCGTTTCCCTTTTCAAACTGTTGCCACCAAATGTTAGAGTCCTGCATTATGTTTCAAGAAATTAAATAATGAAAAATCTGCATAAATATATGTATATTTCTCGCATTGTGATAAAACAACGGTACATAGAGCCATAGAATTTTGAATGACGTAATCATCCTACGAATATGGGCATGTGGAAGACCAAACTTGAAATTTGGAATTTGTTTTATGATCGATTTCATATTTTCTAAAACTTTAACGAATTTTTGAATAACAAACTCAACGATTTAAAAGCGAGCAATGGCAACACTCTACGGGGGGGGGCAAAACATTTTTATCTCCAGCGCGCGGAGTATCGGAAATCCTAAAGATACGCTCATTTAAAAATTATTTTGCCACATTGCTATTGAACTGAATTTTATGGTTTAAGTGCAAAGAATGTGATGTTTAATAATGAAGGTAACACACAAAAAAGTTAAAAAAACGCCTCTTTGGACGTAATTTAAAATCTGTAACCTTTTTTTTTTTTTTTTTTTTTTTTTTTTTTTAATACCCTCACCTCAAACGGAATTGCTAGTGAGTGGTTGTCAGTAGCAGCAAACCATAATAAACACCGTGAGACAAACATCGCTCAGCAAACCTCCTTTAAAAGGAACTGGAGAGACTGAAATCTGAAAATCTTGTGCCTCTGATCGTGTCGTCCGTTATTCGTGCATTTATTTTTGTTAAGATATATTAATAGGATTTCTTCATTCTTCCTCTTGAAAACGAAAAGGAATACATTTTGTTTGCCATCAGTTTGGGGTAAGGTTCAAAATTTACTTGTCTATAAATTTCAGCCTTTGTCAACAATCCAAATTCCCAATCTGTATTTATTCTAATTTATCTCAATTCAAATTTATCCAAATTCCATATTTATCTCAAATCCAGAGCTAGTTACTTCTAAAATATTGCTGTCTAAGTTAATGGTAATCTTAAACGGTATACCTTTCAAGTTTCCAAACATGAATCAGAAAACAAAACTTCTCTATAAATTTCAAATGTGAGTTATTAATTTCATACGTTTCTTTTCTCAAATAGAAAGTTTTCTATAAACTTTGCAATTATCGCAACTAAGCATTTACTCAAATCTTTATCAAACATAATTACTAACACATTGATTGAATTAATTGTGTTGAATAATTAAAGTTTTATGGATAGTATATCAATTGTATAATTCAATCACGATTTTTAAGTAAAGAAACCCTCGTAAATGGTAATTTCTCTGTTTTAGAAAAATGTCAGCTACAGAAATATCAACAGCAGTGTGCCGAACGATCGGCTATATGTGATATAAGTGGCCTCAATAACTGCAAGTGTCCACCATTGCTTTCATTTGATAATCAAGAAAGATGTACAAAAATCGGTACAAAATTTCTTTTTTCCTTATATTGTTAACTTTTGCTAATTATAATTTTTATTTATTTATAATTAATTATTTCTAATTGTGTATCTTATGAATGAGAACAGCATGAAATAAATTTACTGAGCTTGTAAATTATATTACGATTATCATACCGATGATGAAATGATAATAATTTGTATATATGCTTCTGCATCTAAATATGCAACTACACAATCTCGTCCTTTTGACGGCAGCATCTTTAAGGCAGAAGAAGTGTATTCGACAGTGAGCCCTATTTTAGGAACTTAGCATTTTACTTAAAGATTTCTCTTTCTGATGTGACCGCAGGCCACAGAGCACGGGTTGCTGCAGCACCCCCTAAATACTTAGACCTAGGGGCTGATGGTTCTTGGGCCGCAGGCTTATCCCAGGCAATGAAAAATTGAAAAATAATCCTATCAAGTAAATCCAGCATTGAACTAATCCTCGGGATAGAGACCTTCTTAGCGTACTAATAATAGAAGGAATTTTCGAGCCTATTGCTTGTCTGCCGCCCTGAGCCTACGGAAGAGGCCTTAAATAGAAAACCGGTTCATGATAATCCACCTAGAGTTTTCAGAGATGTAGAACAATGTCTGTCTCAAAGAGGACAATAAATAACGCAGTGTGGAACATTAATGATAAAACTGCATAATTTTCATTTTATTTCAGCAAAATATTGCTCTACTTTATTTTTCCCTCAGTAGATAGTTTTTCAAAAATATTCGGGCAGAAATTTCAAAAAATATAGAAAGTGTATGTAAATATAGAAGGCTAGGAAGTACAAATAAATCTCTGCCGTTTTTTATCAAAATTGGGTATTTATTGTGGAAGGTTTATTCAAAGAATTGTCCACCGCTAGCCACACTTTTTCTTATCTTTTTGGCAGAGACCACGTCGGAAGAACACTTTATCTTTTAAGGCTATCGAAGAATCAACTCAATTTTTGGTATCTTCATACTATGATATGAAGCGCTGTTTAGTCAGGATAGGCATCATCGATCGGCACAAGTTGTAATCAGAAGGAGCAATATCTTATAAATACGGCGTGTGGGGTAAATTTCCTATTTAAGTATTCCCAAGGTTTTGACCGGCGCCGGTAGGTTTTGACCGGCGCCGCAACATGTAGACGAGCATTATTATGCGCAGCAATGCATTATTATGCGTGGCAATTCCACATGTAAAATCGGCGTTCAGTGTTCTCGGTTTCAGTTCATATGAAAACTTGCTTTCAGTTTCCTTGCTTTTGAATCATTCTCAATGATTTTAAACGATGTGAAATTTCTTCTTGAAGCCCTCTTAATGCATACGTAAGTTCTACTTGCATTTGGAACGAATCTTCATCCCATTATGCTTCAGTTCCGAGTCTTTATGCACTTCATCAGCTACGATTTTTGTCTTCGACGTCAAAGTCACCGTTCTGAAACTTTTGGAAACCATTCACGACAACTTCTCTCTCTTAAGGCAGCATCACTATACACTTCTATAAGCAATCGATGCGTCTTAGCTGCAGACGTTTTCAAATTAACCCTTTCTGGTGCAGCGTGTTCGGTGAACACACCAAAAATAATCCCTCTTTAGACACTGAAAATAATCGATAAATATCACGAAAACTACACTAATGGTTACTTTTGATCTCTTTAATGAATAGTAGATGGCAGCACCACACAAGCAAATCATTAACTTTGAGATATATTCTGTTTTTAAAGACACTGATTTTTTAAATAAATGTTTCAGTTTTTTTTTTTTAATATAAAGAATATCAATGAAAAAAATCTTTATATAATTTTGTTATTCGTATGCTAATCTGCCTATTCTTTAATTACTTTTAATTTTTATCTTTGAAGTATTGCGTATAGTGAAGCCTTCAGTGTAAGGTGTGTTCGGACTGAACACACTGTACTAGTAGCGCCTGTCACGTGGGAGTGAGTCACAGAATCTGGTCTCTTGCTTCAAACACGGGAAAGACTAAGAGCGCAGATTTATTTATATTTGTATTTATTCTTTTCTGTTTTTGGTTTTGAAGACACCGGTGCTTTGTTTTCACTTAGCTATTTGATTTTCAACGAGAGCAGACCCTTTTTTTCTCTTGCTTTCATCGTGCGTAGTTTGCTTAGTTTTGATTCCTGTAGATTTTTATTTGTATATATATTTAATAAATTTTTGTAGTCAATTTTTAATTGTAAATATTATAGTATTTTAATTATTTTTTTATAAATTTTAAAATTTTGAAAATGGCTCGCAGAGGCCTCAGCATTGCCGAAGCAATGAGAGTTTCCTTTTTTTCCCCGGTTTGTTTTGAGGGGTAGAGTAGCAGACATCCCTGTGGTGCACCCAGGGTTTTGCTAAATCTGCTACACAGATCAGATTCTACTGTTTTTAAATCATAGACAAAGTATTTTACTGTAATACGCGCTTCACAGCAATGCTCACCTATCGCAGCTCGTGCGGCTAAGTGTTTTCGCTTCGGACACACCCACAAAATGGAAACGGTTTATGCAATCTTTGTAAAATTATACCTGCATACTCTCCTAGGCCTAAATAGATTGTATACATTTTTTTTTTTTTTTAATTCCAACTTTAAAGAGTAGAGTGCCGGGAAGGGTTAAAGAAGTAGTTCAGGAGTTACCGCAAATAACACTTATTCCGCTCAAAACTCGACATTTTCGCACGAGAAAAATATGTGAATGCTGATGCAAAATCACTAATATTTCCAGGTTTTGTTGCTGGCACATGTACAACCTTACGATGTGATGTTTTGCGTCGGGCTGTTTTAAACATAAATAATAAAATATAATATTTAAACCTAAAACATAACATTTTTACTGGAAGCGCCGTCTTTTCTCAAACGGCGAAGATTTATTTGTACTCATTTGAGGTACAAAGAAGGAGTTATTACCAAATAATATGTTGCCGAATTTTATTAAATGTATTTGGGTTTTTAACAACTTTAAATTTATTTATGTGAACAAAGTTAATTTTTTTCTTCAAACAATATATATCAATATATGATTTTACATGCTTATTAAATGAAAGCTTACTAAACGAAATTCTTTCGAAGATACTTTTTTATTACTTCATTTGAATGAAGAAAACGTCAAAGCATTTCTTCGTATGTTGATATGTTCTAGTACTCGCTAAGCTATTTATATTTTCCATTTTCATCATTAACATAAATCTCATCTTCTAAATACTTTGGAATCATTAAAAAAAGATTTTTCGCAAAGGAATTTAAATTTGTATTATTTTTTTAACTAAAACAGTGAAATTTTTGTTTTAGTTTAAAAAAGAAATATTGTGTAAGTTATATTCCCATTCCATGGCGAGCCCTAGCCGTTGGCTACTACTAAGTCCAAAAGCGATGATCTCTTTATCATGAAGGTAACTCATAGGTGGACCATCGTTGCTTCCTGTGAAAAGGTCATTTTACATCCATAACTTCTCCAGGCTTCGTACCTGGGTCCTTCGATACAGCAGTCAGTACAATTGACAAATTTTCCGCCTGGGCGGCAGTGTATAACGTACGTACCTTAGTATATTTAATGCAAAATCCTTTTCTTTCCAGCTCAAGCATCCTACACAGTGTTCTTCCATTAGCTTCCACCCATTATATGTCCAAGATCCAATATTCACCTTCTAGGGTAGAATCTGGATCGCTTGTCGATTATCGTGCTATCAGAAAAGATCTCCAAGCCTCAGTAAGTATCAGTTTAAAAATTTCATTCGAGCATTAATGAAGAAATTTCGCTAAAAATCATTTCTTATTCCTGTTTATTAGATGGAACTCCTGCTTGGTCCAAATTACAAATTTGCAGATGTTCTGAGCTGCAAGTAAGTTGCAAACGTTAAATTTATCCTACAAAATTAATTTCAATGTTAACTTATCTTTCTGAATTTAAGTAGCAAATTTCACTTAAATGTTTTATTTTTTGTGTAAAATTTACATACTCTGCCCAGAATGATCAAGTTAATTCTCTTAATTAATGTTCAAGTTAATTCTCTAACTTAGTGATACTCGTGGATGTTAAAAGAAACGTACTGAAGACAACAAAGTATAAATATTTGACGGTATCGAGTCCTACTTTATTGAAACGTATGACTTGAATTCGACAATCTTCGCTCTAAATTCTTTTATGCTTGGAATTTGGCTATCAAAATAAAAAGAGGCGAACAAGGATTCATTCATCGCCCTCTAGAAAGCTGTTTTATATCTTTTAATTGATTAAAGCCAGGTACACAAGGGTTATTTGCCGGACCGGGGCTAGATATTTTGCTTCCCAACGCAAACTCTACAACTTCTAATTCCTGCCGCGTGGTTTCTTTTAAAATTCTAGCCTTAATCATTGATCATCGCTTTATAAGTGATCTACGACCTTTTTGGCCTTTACCATTCTATTCTTTTCGCCTTAGTCAAACTTATTTTTAAACATAGATAAAATCCAATATTTACATAGTATTACGTACGCACTTTAGTGCTACATTTCAAAGATAATAACTTTAGGTCTTACCTAGATATCTTCACATTTCTGGTCAGTATTATACAACAATAGATGTAAAATTTATTTCACATGACGTACGATAGCAATTACATATAATAATGTTTGTAGAAATAGTTGTAGAATCTATTTCACGTGAGAATTCGATTACAACATATATATTAGGAGACTCATACACCTTAAAACCTTTAAGATCTTCGAAGCTTTGGGAACTAGAAGCCAGAAATTTTGTGTTGCCATGAATATTTTTATAATTTAATCTGCTTTGTGGCAAAATTTTTTATGCTTTCACATAATGTTCCACCTTGCGCGCGTGATATTTTAAAAATGGCTAATGATACATACTTGAAACTTGATGGCATTCTTTATATGGGCTTATATTATCTTCTAACTGAACCAAAAATCTGATGAATATTTTTATATTAAAAAATTTTATGCACGAAAACATTACAGATTTTTATAATAAAATAAATTTTTCAAACTCAACTCCAAATAAAATAAAAATATAACATGAAATTCTTAATATTTTTAGTTCACAGTAGTTTTCAAATGTCATAAAAGCTATATGTAAGAGTCCCGTTAAAAAATAAATATGTACAAGTCCCACGAACTGTCGAACACTGTTATAGGATTTCGCACTGACTAGTCAATCAGAAGTACATACAAAAAGTAAAAAAAAGGCTATACCCGATTTGACGGGTGAAATCAAAGTCCATTCCTGCTTTTTCAGATTAAAAGAGTAAAATAAGTAAAAGGTAGTAAAATAAAGTAATAATATATGTACAGTGTCCAAGGGTTTACCATTTATCATACTAGAGTGTTTGTGCGGTTGCAGAAGTAATAGTCGTGGTTTCCCATAATTTTCGCAATGTTGGACGTGTCATTTTCACATTGCTGAAAAAGGTTATGAGAAAATCTGAGCCAGCCTTAAATTCTAAGAGTTTTGCCGCCCTTAAATTCTGCCTCCAAGTGCGACTGCGCAGGTTACACCGGTTCTAGCATTAGCGCTGATTATTCGCTTCACAGATGAAAGAGAAATAGCTTCTGTGAAAATATTTCCTAGAAAAATTTTTCTGAGCTACTCATACGAAAAATCACGTAAACTCTATGTAGTACTCGATTCACCTTGATTTCAACCCAGGTAGAGTTATCGATGTTTAGTAGGCTTACTTAAACGGCCTCTCTTCGGCCATCGACTTTAGATATGAGAAAAGACTTGAATAAAAAAAATATCTTCTTACGTTCTCTTGTAGTGAAATTAGCCAGCACACCCACCCCATAGTTGGGAAGTTCCAAGTTCAAATCCGACTAAGTTCCCAGTTTGTTTCAAAAGGCCCTCGTTCTCATATTCTTATAATCTCAATGGGTAAGATAATCTTACGGAATTAACCTAAGAATTTAGTAACGTAATAAATATGTAATCTTAAAGAAATGACTAACATAGACATATTAAAACACAAAATGAAGATAAATTTAGAAAAAAAAAATATATCTGGTGTAATAAATGCGTTAAAGGTTTAGATCGGTTTAATTAACGAAAGAAACTCAATTCGGTTTAAGTGAATATGCCACAATGCCATGTTATTTTTTTATGTTTACATGTTGTCGTACAAGAAACAGACTAGCAAATTCTAGAGGATCAAGAAAAAAAGGCATGGCGAAATTTCGATAATTTGTCAGTCTGTGGGCCATTATTGTTATCGATAACAAAACAGATGGATGAAAAAAATCTTAGGCAAAGTCGAAATTAGCTACTAATTTATTTCTGAATAATAAGCTTTAAGGTATGAAGGTAAGTAAAGATTAAAATCCAAACTAATCACATTTTAGCTTTTAACTTGCTTCCCTCTGTGTATAGAAAAAGGTGTAGGCCTAAAATAAAGTTTAGAAAAATCTAACAACAATATGACATCAAATAGTATCACTTTAACCAGACTCCAAGCACCATATTTGACTAATGTTTGTCTTTCTTAAGGTTTATATACTGATATATGAAGTTTTACAAACTGACGAGCATATTTAAAAAATGAACTCATATAGGGTGGCCCAGAAGTCACTTTACATTTTGAAAATTAAATAACTTTTTCTTAAATGACTGTATTTAATTAATTCTTTTTTATTTTTTGCTTTATTCACATGTCCATTCAAATGGAAATGAGCTTCATCTCCCATGATCAACTTGTGAATAAATTCATTGTCATTTCTTGCAGTTCTCTGAAACCTGACAGCATAATTTACTCAATTCTGAAAGTCTGCTGGTTTTAAAGATTGCACTAATTGAACCTTGAAAACGCGTCACTAAGTTCCTTATTGCAGGCCTAATAGGGGGATGTCGAACATTAAAATGGCGCATATCTTTGCGTTGCAACAATTGACCGTCCATTTTCAAAGTAAAATTCAATTATCTTCACTCGTTGTTCTGTTGTAAACTTATCCATGCCAAAAATTTCCAGGGATTATATTTTTTAATTCTGAAAAGAGAAAAAGAAATTTATTAATAGAAAAAAAGTTATTTAATTTTCAAAATGTAAAGTGACTTCTGGGCCACCCTATATATCTTGGGATTACCAATTTTGCACAGAATATTGAACGAAAAATACTTTTTGTGCAGTTTTATTTGAAAATAAAATACTAATTTTTTAAACAATGTTGGATCCTTTTTCTCCGAAATCTTATGACAAAACAAACCTATTTTTAATTATGACTAATTTTTCATCTGTAAGATATTCGGTTGTTATGGATAATCGAATTTGCTGTGTCTTGTTAAATACAAAGAAAAAATCTTAAAATTAGTAACGAGTAGATTATAGTTTTGCAGCAGATAATATCAGAATTAAATTGCAACTTTAAAGCCTGTGTATTGAAATAAATTCTTTGTTCTTCTGCGATATATTATTTTTCATATAGAGTTATAAAGGAAATGTTCATGTAAATAGTTTAATGGCTCGTCATATTTCTTCGTAATTTTGAAATATACAGAAATTATTTTACTGTAATTCAGTATAAAATGATATGATATAAGATGTATTTAACTGTCTTATAAGTACTAAAAAAGTGGTAAGCAAAGTAAAATTTGGACAGTAAATTCATGATAAATCAGAAGCTTTACTGTACTTTAAATTCGTGATAAATCGATCGTGATTAATACGACTAATCTCTGAGCAGAAGTAAGAAAATAATCTTTTATGTTATCATGTTTATCATGTTGTCATATTTATCTTATCATCTTATTTATATTTCATTAACTACAATTTCTATTTTACTAAAAGTTTTGCAACTTACATTTCTGTATCATGTAGCAATTCCACAAGGACATTAAATTGCTCTATGGAAGTTCAATTCAATTCTGATCCCAAGGAACAGCTGAAACTTATCACTGAACAAGGAACTTGTATATCCTTTGACTCAGAGTATTGTTTCATTCCTCCTGCACTAACACTGCGCAAAGCAGAAATCAAGCCAGGTAAGAATACAAAAACCTTTTTCAGATTAACACAAATTTAAAGCAGAAGAGGGGAACTTTAATTCCTCTGTTCATCTTCAAGACAGGTTCAGTGATCACAAAACAATTAAATTCATACAGTGATGCAGTCATAGTGTAACAATGCGCATTACTGATAAATATCTAAGTACTTTTAAATTTCTAGTTGATTAATTCTACTGAATGCATGCAATGACCGGTTACTATGAGTTCCACTTAGATTTATAAATGTATCGATAATTTAATAGAAACTTCATTCATTTCAATGAGGCTCGAATCACCAATAGGCTATCCATTCCATCCAAGTCATAACTTAATTATCTAATAATAAAGTCATTTTTGTTAAATGTATTCAACTGAAGATTCCATCGATATTGTAATTCAGCATATTATTACTGTTTCTGCTAGATCTTTTTTATTCTTTGACCACGCATTTGCAATTTTTTTATGGATAAAATGATTTCTCGGTAATATTTTATGCTATACGGAATCATTATTACGGTTTCCTTGCCTCCAATGATACACATTTCTGAGAGCATCAAACTGAAATTTTATAATTTAGTTTGGCAACACTATTTGAAACTTGTCCAGGTTATTTTATGCATTTACACAATACCAGGGATATTTAAAAATGTGCCAGAGTCAGATAATAGGAGTCAAACCCTGCGGTAACGAATGTTTCTGATAACAATTCCCCGGATATAACGAACGAACCTTTTGTTCCCTCCAGCTTCCTATAGATTTATTGTTATTTTATATGATTATAGTGAATTTTTAACAGTATAAAAATCTGTTGTAAAAAACTTTGCAAATATCTTTAATTTTTTTTTTTTTTTGTTTTTTTTTTGTTTTAATTTTCGATTTTTTTTTTTTTTTTTTTTTTTTTTTTTCCCCAAAAAAATTTCTGCAACTTTCAACTGGAAAATTACTAATACTTAAATTCATTATATTTAGGCTATTAAAATAACGAAAAACATCTTTAAGTTAATATTATTTTATATTCATCTCCATTTTCTCTGTGTTCTAAACAAAAGGCCATATAAGGCAGGTGTAGCACTCATTCCATACAAAACTAGGGCACACGCAACAAAGATATCTTAGGAGGTTCTATTATGTAACGCTCTGAGCCAAAGAACCTTTGATCCATTTAGATAAAGAGCTTGAATCAATTTTTTGATTCCATTCCAGTTCTTTGATATAGCTGACAGATAGCACTTTCTTCAAGGCTGATGCTTATTCATAACTGTAAACGTGTATTTTAGATGCAAATGTGTAACTGGAGGGTCGGGTTTAAACCATGACTTTTGTGTTAACTAATTTTTCGTGTAATGTTATTAAACTATGGCGAAAATTAAAAACAAAGAAAAAAAGTATTACTAATGGCATATAATAATAATTTTAATTAACTTTTAACATTTTAATTAAAATACTATTAATATCTTTTGAGAGAGATACCAATGCTAATTATTCTTTCTACGTCATTTGCCAATAAAATTTTTAACAGTATAAAAGGTGATCCATTTCTTTCTTATCAGGCTGGTTATAGCGAACCACCGGATATAGCAAGCCCAACGCTCAGTCTCTTAAATTCGTTATAGCGGGGTTCAACTGCATCTACGTACACAGTCGTAGTTTTAATTGCTTAAATGCCAATATTTTAGAACAGAAAAACATTGGGCAAACTTTGTTCACGAACATCCTTTACTCCTCAGTCACTAAGTCTGTCATCTCTACATTATTTTTAGTGAGGTTATTTAAATTACTTGCTAATCTAAAGAGTTACCATGATATCAGATCTATAAAAATAAAAATTATTTTATTTAATCATGCAATTTTTTTCATTCTCATGAGCAAGAGCTACAGAAACAATAGTCAGCTTGGTCCCGTGGGCGGTTTAAGGTTTAATTGTGGGCAGTAGAGGTTTCTGATGGTGTTGGAAGTCCGTTCTCCCGCGCTCAGCTTTCTCCACATGTTTCCGTATATTTATAAGGCGTTGCCAATTCTCTTATATCTTCTGTAACTATAGTGCGCATAATGGAATTATCACATCTTAACAAAACGTGAGCCTAGGATAAATTTCTTCAAGAAACAAACTTCTTCTTTTCCTAACATTGAAGGTTTCCTATCCGGAAACGTTTCATTGGAATCGATGTCCCGGCTAGCTACGCGGGACATCCTGTGTCTTATGCATATAAGCAAAATATAAATAAATGGATAAATTTAACTACGTATATTTTTATTAACTTCACTCAAAAAATTACTTTCATTTCCGCTAAACTAAGTTACTGCAAAACCGGCGGGCGGTAAAGAAATTTTGCTACTTAGAAAGTGGGCGGTAGGTGTAAAAAGGCTGACCATCCCTGATATAGAGTGTGAGTATTTTAAGCATAAAAATGGATGTCATTTCGGACATTTCAGTACCTCTAAATTTACTTGAACCTTTATGATGGAACTCTACATTTACTTACTTACCTTGATGGTGGAAGATGCATCAACGTTAAGTTAGTAAAAGTAAATTGCATAAAAAAGGATAAAATAAGACTTGATTCACAATCAATTTAGGGCACCTGAACAGTATAATTATCCTAATTAATTATGCTATTTGCTTAAATAAATATGGGGTTTAAACACAACGTACTGTAATGGAGACATATGTTAAGATATACAACGGAATTACTACTTAGAATAAACATAGCGTTTGTTAAAATTAAACATAGCGTTTGTTGAAAATATAAACATGTCCTAAGCTAAGAAAATTGTTAAATCTTGTGTGTTCAGTCTGAATAAATACAGCAGAATTAAAAGAGTTCAGTACTCTGAAACTGCTTTTGTTTCTAGAAGCAAACTATAGAAATTAAATGAACGTCATCTATTGCATCCAAAAGAGAAATTTAAAATAAATCGATTCTTCAAAAATTTCAAAGGAAGGTGTTCCTAGACATTCCTGTTAGAGAGACCAAAGGATCATGGCAGTAGGGTTCAACTTCTGTACATACAACGACAGCGAATGCTGCAAAATTTTCACCACAAATTCATATCATTTTTGCTGCCAAAAGTTTCTGCTAATGTATAGCTTATGTTTCGATTAAGGCTTCATGCCTTTAGTTAATTTACATGCAATAGTTATACAATTGTCAACAATTTAAAAGTTTTTTTGTTGTTGTTGTACTAACTCTAACGAAGTAGCCATTTGTTTACAATTGAAATTCTTAGAAGAATAGTGAATTAAGTCAGTTTTTTGCCTAGTGACTTTTTACCGAGTGAGACCAAAAGTAAACTTTCGGTTTGGAGAGCTGAAAACTCTGCCTTCCTACCCACTGGCTGAATTGCTTGTTTTTGTGCATAAAACCTAATCATAGTAAAAACTGTTTTTTAACTGTATTTGATGTTTTACGTTTTTTTGCTCATCGTGTGTTCACATTATATTTTTTACGATAGTTTATGTTTGCTATCTGCTCACATTACTTTATGTTTCTGTAATAGGCATAATTGCTCCAACAGATCCTTGTACAGATGATATAAAGAATAATATATGTAGCCCAGAAATGGTTTGTGACAAAGCACAAGATGGCTCTCGAAATTTTAAATGCAAATGCTCCAAAGGTTTCTATTCTTTGGGTTTCTACCAGCCTTTCTCCGATAAACAAACAATTATCCACAAGTGCGAAGGTAAGACAAGGATTGTATACTGTTAAAAGATCCTGTAATTTCTTTGCTTTGCTTTTAGTTAAGGAAAATGTTTAGTTGTTGATTTCTGGAATTAAAGCTCAGAGGAATTTGACACGCTAAATGTATATGGAAAATATATCTTTTTCGTACACAAAAGTTCTCGACGATGTGTTGAGGGATTAAAATGTCGAAATTAAAGCCTTTCGACTATAATCATTTTTTCAAATTGTTACCATCAAACACTATAGCTCTGTATTATATTTAAAGGAATTAAATAGCGAAGAATCTGCATAAATGTATGTATGGTTCTCGCATTGTGAAAAAAACAACGGTACCTAGAGACATCAAGTTGAATAATAGAGATCTCCGTTCGAACATGAGCACTTGGAAGCCCGAATTTTAAATTTATAAGTTGTTTCATTATCTATTTCATATTTTGTGAAACTTTAAAGAAATTTTTATTAACATACTGAACGATTTCAAAGCGAGAGGTGTCAAAGCTGTGCGGAGTAAAACATTTTTACCTCTAGAGTGCGAAACTAACTGTCGGAATTTTCACAGATGGACAGTTTTTAAATGTCTTGTGATTTTGCTATTGAATTGAATTTTATGGGGCGTAAATAAATAAAGTAAATACACAAAACGTTAATAACAAAAAGACAAAAAAGTTTTGTAAAACCATCTAATAAAAAACTGTGCACTGATATGATGAACTGGGAAAAGACGTTTTTTCTTTGCTTTTCTCCACCAATAGAGCAGCTGGAGATGGTGCATATCAGCCTGTTTAAGTTCTGCCAATGATTCTAATTTTGTTCGCTGATGTACCACTATCTTGAAAAAGTATCCATATTGTTCATTTTTCAAGTTTACGGCATTTCTTTTCACTGCCCTTAGCTATATCAGGATGCTAACTAGTTATTTAGTCGATTGGAGATTCCAAGAGCTATTTCAGTGCGTTTCTGGATATGTCTGAGCGCGTATGTCTTGAAGCAGATGTTATTTGCCCAAACATATTTGTTTTCAGTTCATGGAGTGAGAAGATAATAAGCACTTGTTTTTTGACACTCCAAAATATAATGGTCAGAGTCTCCAACCCTCCACATATGCCTTAGGCACTATTCCGAAAGTTGAAGCGAAATAAGAAGCTCATATACGATCCATGTCTCGTCAGGAATTTGGTCAGCTCAAAAGTACCACTGCGTAATTTATCTCTGATCTTCGGAAGCTAATTATATACCACTCCTGCCAATGTCGTCGTTATCCCAGAACTTTGCTACTGCTCCATCAAATGAGACCTAGTGGTCGTTTTTATGCGCGACTTCGACCATAGTACGTACAGTATCAGCTTACATTAATCCGTGGCTGCCAATTTAACAGTTTCCGCCTGCTCTCTCATTGCCGTATTCTCTAGTGCGTGTACGGACCCATGGGAGCTCTGGTCTGATATTTCTCGGCAAAAATAGTAGCATTCTTAGAATCCCTTTGGTGTTCTGAATTTTCTAACCTCATTCAGAGTGCAGACTTGACGCTGAGACAGAATATGTGGTTAATTCGTGACCAACTAGAATGTTGTAGTGAAGTGCTTCTGTAAGTGCTGTAAGTTCAGCTTATAACACTGTATTGGCAGAATTAAGTGCCCACGTGTACACTGCTGGACCCTCGTATCACACAGAAGCCACAGCCTGTACCTTTATTCTCCTTTGATCCATCAGGATAGACCGCATATGACTCCAACATTAATGGAACTTGTAGTTTCGCATCAAAAGCAAAATTTGCTGGGTGGCAGGGCACTATTGGGCTATTGCCGCTCATAGTCAGTGCTCTTGAATTCTCTGCTTCACAGGGTTGTATTAGTGTGCAGTCTAAGTGGGCGTACTAGGACATTTTTTCTTTGTACAACGAGATGGAAAAGGAGAAGGCCAATTGAGAAAAAGCTGAAAAAGACAGAAAAATGTACATCAACACTTCACACTGCATCTAAACGTATACTGCTATGCGGCTTTTAAAATTTTTGTAATTTCGTTATTGAATTTGATGTGGCGTAAGTCGGAAGAAAATGATGTTTAACAATAAAGCTAAAAAGATAAAAAAAAATTGGGTTAGTTTATCAGTCTACTGTTACACTAATTTAGTGTAACAGTAGACTGGTAAACTGCGAGCTCAGGGACAGCATAAAAGGTCTTAAGAAATTCTTTTGGGCCACCAATTAAAATTTGAAACCTTTCATTTTTTTAACACAATGCTTGCAATAGAATTGTCGAACTGTCATTTCTTTTCAACCAACATTGCCAAGAATGTTGCTGGTGGTGCACCCCAGCAAAGAACGATCTTATACCCGCGAAACGAATGAGGGACATTCGCATACAGCTAAGCTTTACATGAGAACTGAATTTACACACGTGGTGCGACAGGTTGAGATAATATTGAATAACTGGATAATAAAACGTATTTCGGTAAAAATGGAACAGAATTCTTTTTTAAAAAAGGTTGTAAAGTGATATCTTGAATTTAGAATCTAAATAACAGTTCATGTAATATCTAAAGTGAATTTTGTTAGGCTAACTGTGCTCAGAATTAAGAACGGATGTATTAACACTTGCAGCAAAGTTACAACTGAAGTAAACTTATATTTCAAACTCAAAGGAGCTAATAAAGGTAAAAGTAAAAGCATACTGCAGTAATGAAAAAGCACGTTTTTTTTATAAACACATTCAGGCCATTAAAGTTCTAAAAATTCTTTAAAGGTTTTATAAAATTCAATTATCTTTTGAGGCTCGCTGTTAGAATACTAATCTATAAATCAAGAAGCTGGTTTCGATTTAAATTAGAAGCAAATCAGTTTGCTGTGCAAGAGACTAAAACATTGTGAAGTAATTTCTATTCATGGAATTATTGCAGTATGTTAGAATGTCAATTAGGATTGCGTCAGGATTTAATATACGCTTTATCATATTATATGCAATTACGTGAAGCAGCAAGTGTGCTGTCAGACTGTGAGTTACAATATTAATTCGTTGCATTTGAAATAGACAAAATTTCGATAATGTTATAATAAATTTATATCCTGCACGTCTCTGTTTTTATATGAAATTTTAGTTTAGAGTTTAGTTAGATATATGCGACAGTAACTCGCGAAAAGATGCACAGAAAGCCAATTATAGATTTCCAAATAATTTATTGCTGAAAAACTTCGAAGCAAATTCAGATGAACTAAAAATGAGTACTTCAATAAGATTTTTTATATGCAGGTTAGTGCAAGAACTTTTGTAACTTAATTGGTGATTATCTTTATGAATTACGTTAAAGAAATATTAGCTCTTTCTCGGGTATCAAAGAAAAGACTACATACCTGGTAGAATAAACCCAGAGTGAAACAGGATCATTTTCGAATGTTGAAATATTTAAATCGAAGCTTAGATCTTCGATGAGAAATAACGCATGATGTATATTATTTTATGTATTCATTTGTGTTATGAGGTTTCAAGTGAAGTTCATACTTTATTTGGATGACTCAGTCATCTAAACGTAATAAAATTTGACACTTTCGAATAACTTCAGCTCTGAACTTTCACACACTGTTTGATTTGCAGATATCAACGAATGCTTACAACCGAATGTATGTCCAAATGGAACAAGATGCGTGAATACTTACGGTAGTTTCGAATGTCCTTGCAAGGAAGGATACGCACCTCTCAAGGCAATTGCGGATACTAAACTCGTTGGCTGTGCAGGTAAGAAATAAAACGTAAATGCACTCCATAACGCTGTTATGACCCAGCTTTCCACGGATGTTATCCATGAGAAACTCCTATATCACTAATATCTGCAGTTTTTCATTTTGAGCATTGTATGGTACATAAAAAGTATTTCGAAAGCATTATACTACAAGATCTGACCTTCTTACGTAGCTTACAATTAAACCAGAACTCTAAAAGACAACAGATGAATTTTCAGTGTCTTGTAAGAACTACGGGGACAAGGAAATTGTGTAAAAGACCCTTTTATTAGTCCAAATAAAGTGTTACTGATGGCATTAACTCCTGCTTGCAGAAGCCAATAGCATTGGCTTTACCTAATTTGAATATCACGTGAGCTGGAAATTTACATTCCGGTAGGGAAATGAAAACGAGGATGATAGGAAAGGAAACTAGCATAAAATAACTGTTTAGAAACTTAAATGATACTTTATAATATATATAAATATATTTTGAATGTTTGATCGCAAACCTAAAGTTCCAGTTTAAAAATGAATCCAATAAAAATTAATGAAATTTGGTTCCGTAACGCCTTATGTTATTTATACAACGTTATTTATTCTTAACTTTTATAATAAAAATAATCAATGGCATTTCCTGTGACCGAATTTATCAAAATAAGTTTACTTTCATAGCATCAAAATTTCACGAATTAATCATTGGTGAAGTATTTGATGTATTATACCTAAATATTGCTACTGTACCTTTCATATCAGAAAAGTATTAATATTGTAACAAGGGTTTCGAATTCTCATTTTGCAGAAACGCTGAAATTTAAATCGATTTTGTTGTTAGATATGAGAATAAATTTGCAGAAGGGCTAAAGTTTGACATTATGTATTTAATTAATTTTACTCTTAGATCTTATTATTCGAACTCTTTGAACTCCGTATTTGAATTCGAACAGTAATGTGATATTTTAGCTGTCTCTCCATCGTTTAGAGTATTCCATGTCATTTATTTTTTTAAATTTTTTTTTTTTTTTTTTTTTTTTTTTTTTTCATTTTTTCAGGGCCCATTTATTTGAGAAGAAGCTAAGGACGTTATTTTAAGTCTTTATTTGTTTGAGTTAATTACCTCATCATCTTATGGGTAATATTCAATGCCGATTTTGTCCATTGCAAAATTGCTTTCTCTGGAAAAGAATTTTAGTGGGGAAGGAGCAATGTGCTAATCATAACTTTTTTTATACATGACCCGTATTAAATTACGTCACAAAGTACTACAATAATACCTAAAAATCTCTTGTATACAGTATACAGTCTAAAAATCTCTTGTATACGTGTATTTGTAAATACCCAATACAAAGTCTCTTGTATTAGGTATTTCTCCCGCCTTCTTAGCATGCCTTCCTGTGTAGTGGTCAGCAAACTCGGCGCGTAATCGAGAGGTCCGTGGTTCGAGTCCTGGCGACGGCATAACTTATTTTCATGTCTCCCACTTCGAACTAACCTGATGTCTCTATACTATTTTTACTAAAGCGTGTCACGTAATCAAAATGTTCATAGTCTCAAAACTTCTTTTATTTACTTCATCTCCTAAACTGGAACTAAAGATGTACTCCAGTTTCCATGTTGCATTTAGTTATGCATTCTATCTTAACCCTTTGCGGCACAGTGTGTCCGGTTTGGACACACATAAAAATTTCCTTCTGTGCGCACAGAAAAATTGAATGAAAAAGGATTTATAGGTTACTCTGAACCTTCTTTATTTATAGTAGATGGCACCTCAACACAAAAAAGTCCATACATTTTAGCCATATTTAGTTTTTTAAGACCCTCATTTTTCAAAGAAATCTTCCAGACTTTTTAGGGTATAAAAGGAATTGTTTGAAAAGAAATTTCTATGTTATTTTTTCGGCTGTATGCTAATCCCCTTATTCTATATTAGTTTTAAATTTTTACCTTTAACTCTTGCCTAAAATCAAACGGCGAACCCTAAGTGTGCACAGACCGGGCTCACCGATAATGTAGGACAACTGAGAGTCTGTATTCTTTGTTTCTCCGCATCTCATCAGTCAGTTCATTGACAACAATGCCCGTTTCAGCACTGTTTTCGAAGCTCTGTTCAATCAATGTGCCACTTTGGGCAAACCCACAGAATTAAAAGGATCAGTGCTATCTTACAAAATTTTACTTGTGTACTCCTCTAGGCCTAATTAGACTGCCTACCTTTGTTTTTATCAAAACTCCCACTTTAAAAGGTAGCGTGCCGGAAAGGGTTAAGCATGCTATGTACGTCCTAAGCATCTTATTAGTCTTCTAAATGGAAAAGAGTTTTCATGTTGTTGTGTCAGGACTTGTGTTTCTCTTGATTTGCTTTGGAAACATGGAATGTTCTGAATAAGAACAGGGAGCTTACTCAAGCTATGTTCAAGATTTGTGTATAACAGACGACACAAGCAGGAAGGGTATACGAAACCCTTTATTTTCAATACCTTACAGGCACTTCCGAACTTCGGAATACAGAGACCAACCACTTGCGGTCTGAACGTAAGAATACCAAACTACTAACTATAACTAAAAGCTAACTTTGAATTAGTATACAAATGCCTAGCACTAAGACTGGCCTTTATTTAAAAAGGGTACGTATGTAGTACGCCGAGCTGCTGAAACTACAATACGTTTGCAAATATCAAGAGGGCTAAACCTCTGGCCTTAAAGGCAACCAGCAACCGAGTTAAAACTCGTAAAACTGCAGGGGCAAGCGGCTTGCTTCCTAAAACTCCTTCTCTCTCTCTCTCTTGGCAAAAAGCCACAACTTAAGTACTTGGGCGTTAGCAAGACAATTTGCATAACAAGTAAAGCATTTAATTCTAACCGGAACTAGAAAATAAGAAATTATAGTACAGTTTTAAAATAAAATAAACGTTAGTAAAACTTAGGATTCTTACAGTTGTTTTTGTTTTGTTTTGTTAATATTCGATCTTCTCATGTTCCAGAAAGTAACCACGAGGTTTACACTAATAAACTATAATATTAACAAAATAAACAAAATACACTAGAAATGCAAAGGTGAGAAAAAGAATGGGGGGAAAATTTTAAATTGAAAGGAAAAAAAATTTTAATTAAATTTACAAGAAAATAAAAAGAACACAGTAGTCTAAGTTGACAATGAAATAAGAAAAATACCGATATAGTCTTTACTCCGTTAACGTTCAGGAAAAAAATTAGTGGCCAAGATATAAACAAATACTCATCTATCTATCCCTAAAAGGAATATTTTATGAGAAAAATGTAAATATAGATCAGTGATGGCGAACCTATGACACGCGTGTAATACATGACGTAAGCACCCAGTTTGTGTGACACGCATTGCGCATTTCCAGAGCCTTAGACGGAGGCAACAGATTGCATAATGCAAAAATATTTGTCTTTTGCAATGGCCTTGTCATTGTCTACATTTTCTGCGTTTGGCGCGTTCGAGGGCATTCTTGGCAGATGGATGACACTGGTAAATGGATGATTCTATAAGTGACACGGCAACAGAGTTAAACTAGGGTTTTTTCGAACTTTGACACACTGAGCTCAAAACGTTCGTTATCACTTATATAGAGCATGAGGATGAAGCCATATTTTGTCGTTTTATTTATTGTGGGTAATCCTTATTCCTATACAGTGAGAATGTTTTCTTCATACAGTATTTTGCAGTTCTTTTCGAATCATTACTCAGCTCCAAAGAAAATAGCATTTTTGCCAAAGTTACATAAGCAGCACCTATTCAGGAGGAATTTAAATTTTTGTAACTGCCAAGAAAAGTTCCATTACGATTATTTATAAATTTTTATCAAAATTATTAGTCCAAAGGGGCTTTGTCCCTGAGGGACAATTGTTTTCGTTTTGCGATTTTGCGTCAAATCACTCTGAAAGACTTTTCCAACTGTTGCGACCAAGTATTACCGCCCTGTATTATATTTGAAGAAATTAAATAATGGAAAATATGCATAAATGCATGTATGTTTCTCGCATTGTGATAAAACAACGGTACCTGGAGCAATCCAATTTTGAATGACGTAATCGTACTGCAAATATGGGCATTTGAAAGGCCAAATTTCAAATTTGGAATTTGTTTTATCATCGATTTCATGGTTTGTAAAACTTTAACGAATTTTTGATTAACAAACTCAATTATTTCAAAGCAGGCAATAGCAACATTGTACAGGAAAAACACTTTTATCTCCAGCGCGTGAGACTGTGTATCGCAAATTCTAAAGATATGCTCAATTTAAAATTATTTCGCGATATTGCTCATGAACTGAATTTTATGGACGTGAACGTGATATTTAATAAATAAACATAACAGACAAAATGTTAAAAAAACGCCCCTTTTGGACTTAATTTAAAATCTGAAATCTTTCAGATTTTTTTTTTTTTTTTTTTTTTTTTTTTTTTTTTTTTTTTTTTTTTTTTTTATTTTTAATTATTTTACTTCCTTGTACGAAGTAAAAAAAGTAACTGTATCGCGAAAAGCTTCAGGCAGCATATTTCAATGAAAATATCCATTTTGACCGCTATCGAATGCAATTTAACGATGTTTTTGCGTGACATCTGTATGAAAGGACAGAATAAAAGACTCTTTTCCTCCTAAACAATTATAAAACTGCTTTAAAATGAATTCTGAAGAGAATTTTTCATGGCGTCTGTACGAACGTATGTACGTACTTATCTCGCATAACTCAAAAACGAGTAGCCTCAGAACGTTGAAATTTTGTATATAAAACTGCTATAACATGTAGATGTGCACCTCGTATTTTGGTTGCAATCGGCCGCACCATACGTATATAAATATATTTATATATATATCCACTCTATTACTCGGCTCAGTGATCTCAGTTTCTTTACTCTTATATGTTTGTAAATTGTACATTTTTTGCTTTAAAAATGATTGAATTATATTCTGTTCTTATCGTCCGGTTAAGGTTTTTATGCCTTTCGTAAATCTGGAAGCAATATTTGTACAATTATCAACAATTTAAAAGCCGTTTAAGTGCGGTTAAGTTTTAAATAACATGGCGGACATATTTGTTTACATTTGAAACAGCAGAATAGTAGATTTGTTGCCAATCTAGAGAGACTAAGCTTCAAAACAACAAAGATAACGCCTTCATTTATTATTGCGAATTAAATCATGCTTAATCCTTTCTGGAATTTATTCGAGGAAATAAGTGTTTAAGATTTACTTCTTAAATTTCAATACAGACATTTTGAGTTTTTATGTATTTTTGCCTTGTCGCGAAGTGAGAACTGAATTAATTGAATGAAAAATACTAAATCGTCTGTGAAAAACTGTTTCTTTTTTGTTTTGTTTTCTTAATTTCTTTGATACATCGTTCTAGCTTCCAGTATTTGAATAGAACATGGGGCAATGATAAGATAATTCTTCAAATGACATAAAGTTTTTGCATTCTGAGTTATAATATGAACGAAATATTAAGTGAACCTAGCGCCAGAGTGTCGCTATGGTAAATACAGTGAATTTTAAAGAGTGCATTTGTTCTATTGTGGTTATGCGCTGTCGACGAAGTAGATTTAATTCAATCCAATAAGTTTAAATGAAATGCAAGAAAAAATGCCTATAATTTAATATTCCGTACAAGGAAGTCATGTGGTGTACACATCAGATTTTTTTTATACATTTTTATGTGCAAAAGTGTAGTATATTATTTTTAAATTCTTACTATTGTTTTTCTGATAATGTTCATTGTGGATCAGAAACCTATCGTTATATATAAGCTAACATGAAACATTTTTCTCTCGCTAAGTGATTTCTAGAAACTGTCAAATGAACTTTTCTATAAATTTCTAGAGTAAATTTTAACTACATTTAATACGAGTTCTTTCTTTTTTAGTAAAAAGAGCGTTAGTCCAGAAAGGCTAATAATTTCGTTGATTCACTATAAATGTCGGTTTACTTTTCAAACTGTTGCCATCAAATATTAGAGTCCTGTATTATATTTAAAGGAATTCAATAATGAAGAATCTGCTTAAATGTACGTATGTTTCCCCATTGTGATAAAACTACGGTACCTAGGGCCATCAGATTTTGAATAACGTACGTCTCCATATGGGCGAATATGGGCATCTGGAAGCCTAAATTTGGGATTTGTTTTATTATCTATTTCATATTTTGTATAGCATTAATGAGTTTTTGATTAAGAAATGCAACGATTTCAGAGTGAGCAACGGCGACACTCTTCTGAAAAAACAAAACTCTTATCTCCAGCGCGCGAGACTGTGTATCGAAAATTCTAAATATATGATATTTTTAAATTAATTTGCGATATGGCTGTTGAATTGACTTTTATAGTTTAATTGCGAATAATATGATGTTTAATAAATAAAGGTAACCCACAAAACATTAAAAAAATGCCCCTTTGGGCGTAATATAAAATCTGAAACTTTTCAGATTTTTTTTATTATTATTATTTTGTTTTCTTACTTTCCTTCACTCTTTTAGTAAATTAAGGGGCTATTAGTCTCAAGACGCTATTTTGCATTCTTTCACTTTATACGTTGTGTAACTTTTCATTAGAGCCTATTGCAATTCACAAAAAAAAAAAAAAAAAATCGCATCATTATAAACTAACATGATTGTGCAAAGAAACACTTCAGTCCAGTCGCAGATAAAAGTAAATATTATAAATTAGATACATTTGAATGACATTAATTAACTTGATTATTAAAAAATATCGATACCAATTACTAAAAAGCATTTTTATTCTTTTTAAACTCTGTTAAACAGTAACAGTTTAATGAAATCTGAAGGATATATTGAAGATGGTAAATTGTTCCATTGGTAATACGTCACTAATCGCAAATATGATAAATGGATGGTAGAACAGTGTTACGTAATCGTTCAAAAACTTTCTAAAGATCGTGCTAAAAACGTTTCTGATATCAAAAACATTCATGCTGCTGATTTCCTTTCTGACAAAGACATTAATCATTCCGCAGACATTCCGCAGGAGAAAAAGAGGAAGAATGACTTTGCTTGTTTGCATTAGCTGTACATAAGTCACGTGTACATAAGTCACGTGATCTCTGAGGTCATCTGCACATTGTTTGTTTACAAAAGGTATATATAAGTCACGAGACCAATGAGGTCATCGGAATGTATCTCATTACGCTAATTTTGAAATTAAAATGATTCACTTTATTTCTTATATGCTATAGTGTCTAGGTTATGTTTTCTTAACTTCTATGACATCTGATATTTTCCACCCAGTTTTTGACAGATGTTGATGTAAAAGGGCTTCAGATGTCGTTTTTTCCTCCTGCATTGTCTAAATGCGCTAAAATACTAATCATTTGCATATCCCAACTTCATTTTCCTTTCATGCAATTTTGGCTTTCATGATATCATTCCTTCCTGGTGTGGCAATTTTAAAGGCCAGCAGTGTATTTTATTGTTGTAAAATATTGGTTTATAATTTTTCTTTTATGGGATCAAGTGTCAAAATTTTTATCCTTCCTTTTCATTATTATAAACAAATTTTTTATTTTAAAGTTATACGATTAAAACTTATTATAAATTAACTAAAATTTTATTCAAAATCATTGCAACAATACCTTGATTAAAAACTAATTTGCTGTTATATGAACTAAGTAAAAATATTTTATCTATAAAATATAATTTAAAAATTCAAAGAAGTATTGCTTTTTATTCACAGAAATGTGTGATTCAAAGATATGCCTGCATGGAACTTGTGAGATAATTGGATCTCGATTTCGATGCAAGTAAGTTCTATGTGATCTTTCTATATAAAGTTATTATTTTGTGTAATATTTTTTTTTTGGTTATTATTTTGTAATTTCCGATTCTTTCCCGTTTTCACCATCGTTTGTTATCTAAATTTTCTGTCAAAAATAATAAGACAATTGTTTAAAATAAGTATCAACAAAATGGAGATAATAGTGACAAAAATTTATCAGGAAATTTTTGTAATAAATTCTTTTTTCTTCCGAGCGATAGAAATGTGTACACACAAATGATTCTCGCGAAAGCAGTAATGTGTATTATATAAGGTATGCACACAGTGTCAACAAAAATTCTTGCCCAGTCTCTATTTTCAAATCCATTGATTTTAAACATATACTTCCAATACATGCAAAATACTTCTATATACATACAAAATACTTCCATATACATATAAAATACATACACATACCAAGAATTTCCATATACTTCTACATACATACAATATACTTTCATATACATACAAACATGCTTTAATTCACTTAAATATTCATGTTTGGGCATTTTAAAATTTAAAAAAAAAATTTAATAAAAATATGAAATCTAACTTTTTTATAATGCCTCTTGATCCCTCTACATATATTTAGAAAAATTTAATAATTAGTTTGACTCCCACCGACTAAAATTGACCCGGATATTTAATTTGAAAATCTGGAATATTCAACTTTCCTTGAGAAATGTATTAATAAATTAATTAGAATAATTCGCGATTGGGTTTTCCTTCCCCATCATCACCATTCAATTATAGTCTTTTGTGATTAACTGGTGTTCAGTATTCTCTAAATTATGATTTTGTGGTATACCGAAAGAAATTCACACAAGTAATTTATAACTTTTCAAACGCTCTGAATATATTATCATTATTCCCATGAATTTTTTTTTACTTTAGAACTATAACATAATAATCATACTAAAAAAAAATACATACAAAAAAATTCGTAAATCTGAAATATTTTTAAGCAATGTAAATAGCATTAAATTCGTTGTGTTTCATTGCTGAAGCCTATTGTTTTATTAAGCGTAAATTCTATAAGATTCTATGAAAACGTTCTCCTTTTCGAAAAAGAAAAAAAAATTATATTCGCCAGTACTTTTCATCCCAATATGCATTCTTAATCATTTATTTCCAGAAATCTTTCTAAATTCCTATTTTAGTTTAGTTACTTAAAATGAAAAACATTTCGTTCTTCAATTTCTATATTGCTTCGAAACAGGCTTTCTAACTTTAAACTGAAATACCTCGGCCAATTTTCCTCATACTAGAGTCACATTTTTTTGATATTTTATTTCCTGTAATTTAAAAATACTGCTACGAATTTTGTATATATATAATTGATTTTGTTAATTTGTACGTAAAATTGTATTATCTTTTGTATGATGTAACAAAAATGTTTGAAAGTGATGAAGCTCTGCCGGAAAAATAAGAATACATGGGCAAGTCTATTAAACATTGAGTAAATGGCTATCTCTTTAAATTGGTGAGATAGCCATTTACTCAAGGTTTAATAGAGCTATGATTTTGGAAACAAATTTTTGCCGCCAAATTCAGCGAAACCGCCAAAACTCGCCAAACTTGGTCGCCTTTGGTGAAATTTTGGTCTAGTCCTGTATAATTGTTACTGCAATGGAATAACTATAATTGACTCTTATGTGTAATTGTAACCGTATCCGTCCTTATGTGTAATGTATAGGCCTTCCAGATATTTCCAGAAGTGCAGGGTACTAGAGATTTCTCGGCGATCGGGGGAAAACTATGTAAGACCGGTGAAACCATCAATTTGTCAGCTGTTTAGTTCAGCGTGAGTTCAGAGTTTTAAGATATCTCCGTTTTGAGAGATCCGCTTTGCTTTCTTAGATGCGCTTTACATTATGCTGAATTTAACCTTCTCAGTAAGGCACACCAGCGGCCGAGCGGTAAAGCCGCTTCACACTGGTAGTTCGGTCCGAGGTTCGAATCCCGCGCACGGGCTGGCTGCATGGGTGTTTTCGTGGCTTTCCCCATGTGTAACGTGTATACGAGCCAGTTTCCCTTAGAAAGTCCTCCACGAAGGCATCCCTCCCCTTAGGCAGATAGCCCTAGTGTGCTTTGCCATAATAAAATACACCACGTACACCACACACCTTCTCAGTAAATTGGAAGTGTAACTACTGATTTTACTCTGTAGCTGTACGATTATTTTTTATGGAAAGTTCCAGAACTTATAAATTGTTTCTTTTGGTAAAAATAAATTTTTATCAAGCTATCATCGGTTCTGTGTACATTCAATCTATTACAAACCCGTACATATGCAACAATACCAAACATGTATATCTGCGAACGTAATCAAGTAACTGCTTTCATTCATTTACATGTTCATATACCCACCCAACGGCATGCAACATGGAACTAATTTTTTAATCTTGTTTTTTTCGTATTTAGGTGTGATAGTGGTTATTCTGGATTTAACTGTGATGTGGAAACCACAATAGGTATGTTGCAAGAATTTTTATAGATTGATGTTTTTAGTGCCAGGAACTGAAGACAAAAGTATTATTTGTTTCTGTCTTTTGTCCTGGGATGTGAAAGCTGGTTGGTTCTCATTTATGGTGGCATTCTAATTATCTTAAGAATCTATGATCGTCCAAATATAATTCAAAACAGCTCTGTTGAAAATTCTTCGGCTGCTTCTTGAAAAATATCAAAGAATTTTCAACAACTTGTTATATTTTTATTTGCATTTTTTTATTGAATTGCTTATTGCTTAGTTTTTGTTCCAGTTTTTATGTACATACTTCCTGTTGGACTATTTACCTCCTAATTTGATTTCGTTATTATTTCTTCATTATTTAATGAATTTTGCAGCGCACTGCGCGTCTTTAATACATTATAATCTTAATTTTAAATTTCTAAGCTTTTGTTTATGTATGTATGTGTGAGATACAAATTTTGTAAATTCTCAAAATTATAATTTAAACTAGCAATAGCCCTTAATTACCTCTCTCTATATTCTAAAAATAACAATTTCTTAGTCTGCATCATTTCTAGATCAGTCTATATCGCATGGCTTGCGTAACGCTGATGAAATCGCTAATTCGGAACCTGAATTCAAAATTTCGTGAGCTTAAACCTTTCTCTTAATAAGCAATCTGAACAAAAACCTTCTCTTGGTGATCCTCCATATTGGATAATAACGCTCTTCTTAGCTTCAGCTGTCTTGCCGCTAGGACGCTGTTTTGCTCTCTTCATTTCTATCGCAATAGCTTCAAAATGTAATAAATGTGCTTAGTTCCGAGTAAATGGTGGCTTCAAATGTAAGTTGAAATAAAGATGAATGTTTGATCCGTATGATCCGCCTAGACTGCCGGATTTTCAGTTCATTGCGGATTCAGCGCTTTGCATTCTGAGTCGTTTTTGTCATTGTTGCGTCGTCTTCATTACATGTATGTATCTTGGTTTCAAGGAGATTCCTAGGCAGACAAATCAGAGTTACTTAAGTATTTAACTAAATCCAATTAATCCTGTGAATACACTGATGGCTATGGTTATTTACAGGTGAACTACTAAAAATTAAAAGTGGCAATGGAGGCAGTACGTCCTTACGTCGTCATCATTCTTTCATGGCATCCTTCTTTTCGTTGCATCATCTCATCATCCTCTTGCCTCGTTCTCTCTCTCCATTCGTATTGTGCTCTCGTACTCCTGATACTTATACATACAATGCGGTGCTACTAATGGTGAAATTCTGCACTTACACTGAAAGACATATTTCTCTTTTAGAAGTCAAACATTCTCTATAGTTTAAAAAAATTCAACCTTTCACATTCTGCTTTTATTTTAGCTAAATATTAAAATGAGCTAATCGTGGTGAAATTTCATTTTCAACTTTTCCAGTTTATAGTGTTGTTGTCTGAGATTATTTTCTATCTACAGTGTTTTTGATCGTTTTCAAATGCGATATTTTGCGGTTGCTTTCCAGACGTAAACTAAGATATAAACAGGAAATGAGATTTGGAGTGATCAACGACAACACTTGATGAAGAATGGAAACACAATTTATTAGCCGGTATTACTTATAACAGCTCCGAAACACGTTTATAGTTGTCGAAAAACTACGACAAACACGGTGAAGAAATCAGCAACACAGATTTCAGGCTACCAGGCTATAACGCTGAAGACAGCTTCACAGCAAAGCACCAGGGTATACAGCTCCCGACTCTGTTCGGTCGCTGTCGGAACTCGCCATATTCTAGAGACCCTGAAACTCGCGACGCACTCGACGATAAGCACTAGAGTACAACTCTCGACTCGGTTCGGTCGTTCGCGGAGCTCACCACACTTAAGATTATACTCGACGAGCCACTAACTCGAGATCAACTCGACAGACCAACGATCAACTCGCTGCTAGACTACGAGAGATTCACTTAATCACTATTAACTGACTCTCCGCGGACCAGCAGGATTTATATAGCTTTTGGCTTGCGTTCGAGAGCATTCTGGGCCAAACCGGTAAGAAATCGTTCCAGAAGTTTCTCCATCCGTCTATGACATATCGCCAATTTTGTCGCCAAATGGGCGATATCGCCCCAAATATAACAACCCTCACTTCCCTTGTTACTTTCTGCTAACCCTAAATCCGCTTTGCGGGGAAGCTATCTTACCACAGCTGGTCATTTCGTAACAATGTACAAATGCAATCAGAAATAATTTTTTTTAAACCTGTGACCAAAAACCAAAGCCTAAAGTATTAATCCTCGTTTCAAACAGTATAATCCTAATGTTTAAAATATATTATTTATATAATATATAATATTAGAATTCTAATATTTTAAATTATAATAGTTTAACGATAAATGGAATTATATAGGATTTCAACAAAAGTAGTGAAAGGTCGCATGGAAAATTTGAGCCAATATTCAGTGGTGAAATCGAAGTAACACATTGTCTTTAATGCATGTTGTTGTGTTCGCAATTCAGTTAAGATAAGCCTTCCAGTGTGAAAAATCTTGAAAAAATTCCATGTTTCTCATGAAGCTGCTGGGAATAATTTTCTTTTTCTGTCCTAAATGGGCAGGTTCTTTATTTAATAACCAATATAACGCTTTCCGCCAATACAAAGGCGAGAAATGATGGCCATTTCATTATGGAAGCACTTATAGGTGGCCACCGTTGCTTTCTATGAAAGGGCGAACAGTCCATGGTTTCTCTGAGATTCGTACCTGGGCCCATCGTCGGAGTCACTAACCACTATATCTGCTGGGTGGCAGAATGTTTTCCTTTGACCCTCTAATTTTATTTATCAAAATAGGATAAAAAATTGTGTATTTTTACTTATACAAAGTAAAAAGGAAGTGTTGTAATCGCAAAAATTTTCGGTTATTATATTTCAACGAAAATATTGATTTTGACCGCTATCCAATGCATTTTAATGATGTTTTTCGTGACATCCGCAAGTAAGGATAGAATAAAAGACTCCTTTTCCCCAAAAAAAATATAAAACTGATTTAAAATGAATTCTGAAGAGAATTTTTTGTGGCGTCTGTGCGTACGTACGTATCTCGCCTAACTCAAAAGGGAGTAGCCACAAGAACGTTGAAATTTTGTATGTAGATCTGCTATAACAAGTAGATGTGCACCTCGTATTTTGGTTGCAATCGGCAGCACCAAAAACATATAAATATATGTATATATATAGTTTATTTACTAAATAATATTGATTATATTATCTCCTAAGATTAATTATAGAATTATCTGAAAAGAGTGAATCCATATTTAATAAGTTCTATTTCGAAAGATGTTTTTAAGTAACTTGAATGTAAATTGTTAAAAATGTTTAACGGGGACTTGAATTAAATCATGAATAACAAAATTTCAATTGCAAAAGGAATAAATTAAAGTAGAATAACTCGTTTTCGTACTAAGTAAATTTAAGATCATACAACATTTGATATGTATATATATATATATATATCCACTCTGTTCTCTGTTACTCGGCTCAGTGATCTCAGTTTCTTTATTCTTATAAGTTTGTAAATTGTACATTTTTTGCTTTAAAAATGATTGAATTATGTTGGTCTTATCTTCTGGTTAAGGTTATTATGCCTTTAGTAAATCTGCATATAATATGTTTATAGTTATCAACAATTTAAAAGTTGTTTAAATCCAGCTAAGCCTAATGAATTTGCGGACATGTTTGTTTACATTTCAAACTTGGCAAAATAGCGGATTTGTTGCCAATCTAGAGAAGGCAAGCTTCGCAACAACAAAGATAACGCCTTCTTTTATTACTGCGAATTAAATCATGCTTAATCCATTCTGGAATTTATTCGAGGAAATAAATGTTTCAGATTTACTTCGTGATTTTTAATATAGATATTTTGAGTTTTTATGTATTTTTGCTTTGTCGGGAAGTGAGAATTGAATTAATTAAATGAGAAATACTGAATCGTCTGTGAAAAACTGTTTCTTTTTTGTTTTGTTTGTTTAATTTCTTTTATACGTCGTTTTAGATTTGTTACAGTATTTGAATAGAACATGTGGCAACGATTAGATAATTCTTCAAATGATATAAATTTATATGTATGGTTAGTTATAATATGGACGTAATGTAACGCTGTTAAATGAACCTAGCGCCAGAGTGTATAGCTATGGTAAACAAATGTAGTGAATTTTAAAATGTGCATTTATTCTATTGTGGTTTATGAGCTATCGACGACGTACATTTAATTCAATCCAATAAGTTTAAATGAAATGCAAGAAAAAATGCGTATAATTTAATATTCCGTGCAAGGGAGTGATGTGGTGTACACATCAGATTTTTTATTACATACTTCAAATCTACAATATGTTTAAGAGTTAAAATATACACACAACTTTAGTAAAAGATTTTTTTTCAAGATAGAGTTAGATCATAATAAAATGTTCTCTTTAAATCGAAACTGAAGAATAATCATATAAAAGCAAAATTTTGAAAATTAATTTTGGTTAAATTAAGATTTATTTTATGAAATACAAAGGTAAAATGTATAAACTGATGAAAATGTGCAAACACTTATAAAATATTTATTGGAAATGTAGTATGATAAACTTCGAAACAAGGCTCGAGGCAAAGTCTTACCTCGCAACCTTTGCACCAAATTCGCATTTTTTGTGAATTTTTTTGTCAGTTTCAGCTTTTTAGCAACAAACAGCACACTGTCTACGAGACTTTTGCTTGATGGGATTGGGGGGTGAGGTATATGGCCAGCAGAATGTCGAGCAGTTAGTCTCGTATGATTGAGAGTTGAACCACAAACACCTCTGAGCTTTGAAAAGAGCGCGCAAAATGGGGCAAAACAGCACATCTGTTAACCCATATCTGAATAAACAATTGGACATCACGAACAGCCGAAAAGAAACTAGTATGAACGGAAAAAACGTGGTCACTGTTTAATAGATGGAAGAGAATTGCATCCACGCGGAAATTGCGAGTTGCGAAAATTTGCTTGGAAATCGCGGGATACCCAGCGAGGGGTATTTGCATCGTATACTTTCAGTACATCGTATACTTTCTTATATCGATATTTTCATCCTTTCAAAAATGTCGAATAATATCTTCATTAGTTTTTCTTCTTAATGTCATTTATATTTATTATTTCTTGCTTCGCTGTAAAAATGTAAATTTTTGTTTCGTTGTTTTAGCAGAAAATATCGTTTAATATCTTCATTAGTTTTCCTTCTTAATGTCATTTATATTTATTATTTCTTGCTTCGCTATAAAAATGTAAATTTTTGTTTCGTTGTTTTAGCAGAAAATGAAGGAATCCGTATAGCTGTCACTAGCTGTATAGCTGTTACAATTTCCAGTATAGTAGTACCTCTACTTCTTTTAACAATATTCATAATCCATAAATATAGAACGTAAGTATAAGAATAAAACTATGCAAATTATTAAATTCCATTTACTTGAATATGTATTTAGTTGGGAACATCATGTTACATTTTTCATAGCTGATATGACACTATTTAAACTGAAATTATGTCATATATTTTTACTTTTTTATTGCTGTCTTTTGGAGAGAGACTCTGCATTTAATTAAGGAAAAAAATAAATTACTTTAAATTATTGAAACTCATTTAGGACACTATATTGAAAAATAAACTTTAATTTTGACATTATGTTTTAACTTAACTTTAATTTTTCCCCTTGAAAACAAGAAATTATTGCACGATTGTAAGAAAAGTAATATCTTCAGGAAAGATTTTAATAATAATAATAAGAAGAAGAAGAAGTTCTAATAGTTCTATTCCTAGTAAACAAAAACAAAAAATGTGTAAATAACAAAACATCTGATTAAGCATTGTCATTAATATACAGAGTGTTTCAAAAAGAATATACGTATTTCGAATGCATGTATTTATTAAACTGTATGACATACGAATATGAAACTTGTACGAACATGTACATGAACACACACATGTACGAACCTCTCAAGTTCAGATTACATATGTTACAGATGTTCAATATGTCCTCCATCAGCGACACGAACAATATCACATCCATATTCAAATTCCTCCCTTACTCGGGCAAGCATGTCCGTCGTCACTGATATTATGGCAGTAGGGATCCGGTTCATTCACCTCTTCCAGGTTCTGTGGGAGTGGTGGTACACAAACGCTGCCTTTAATGAAATCCCACAGGAAGAAGTCACAGGGTGTTAAATTCGGTAACCGTGGAGGCCAGCTGAGACATCCTAAGACGCCAGCTCCTTGATGACCAATCCAACGATTTGGTAGAGTTTCATTCAGATAATCACTCACTTGGCGACACCAGTGAGGGGTGTGCCCCTTTTGTTTAAAAATGAAGTTGTCTTCGGCAGCCTCGGAAACAACCAGTTTTGTAACATAGCGAGATACTGCTGACCGTTAACCGTGTTTCTGTCAAAGAAGAATGGGCCGGTAAACAGATGATCGAGATATCGCACAAAACACACTGATTTGGGGCGAATCTCGTACATGTTCAGTGGCTGCATGTGGGTTCTGTAGGCCCTAAATTCGAACATTGTGTTTGTTTGCATGACCACTAACATGAAAAATCGCTTCATCACTGAACGCGATGCGTTGTGCGAAACTGCTATCATTGTCAATAGCATCAATATTCTCGTTACAAAATGCCATCGTTTGCGTTTGTCATGAGGACGCAGAGCCTGTAACAAATGTAACTTGTACGTCTTCATAACCAACCGACGTCTCAAAACACGCCAAATTGTTGTTGCAGGCAGTTAGTTGTAACTCCCGACAGGCACGACGAGTTGATTTTGAAGGACTAACGTTGGAAAGCAGTTTGAATTCGTGCAACATTATCGTCGGGAACACGAGGGCGGCCAGGACTCTTTCCTTTATATACACATCCTGTATTTACAAACTGTCGATACCAGCTGCGAATATTCCACCCATTCGGAATATCGCTTTGGTACCTCAACTTGAAACGTCTTTGCACTGTAATCACAGAATTGCACTTCGCAAACTCGAGAACACAAAATGATTATTGGTGCGGAGTAGCCATTTTAACCATGCGACGGTTACCACGCAAAACAGAAGACAACTGGCATCTAGCGCCTATTAATATAAACTATGTATTCGTTTCACCAATAGCCGAGCCGAGGCGCAGTAATCGATAGTTTGGAGAAAATAACACTTTTTAATGCGTATATTCTTTTTGAAACACGGTGTACTTAGACACTACCATTTGTATGATATTTGTATGTAATTTGCATGGTAAGCTCTCATCTTTAATTACTGTTATACCTTGTGGTGATTATTGCTTTTAGTTGAAAAATAAGAGCAAATTACCCTAAACAATTATAAAACGCCTCTTTGAAATTAGAAAGAAAAACATTTGAAAGAGGTAAAATTTTTTCCTGAAGGCATGAAACTGTTCGATGAAATGAAATTTCGAACTATAACTGCTTTATTTAAGGTAATAGAAGAGGCTAAGTGGAATCTATAATATTCGCTTGAGGTTTATTTTCAAAAGATTAGTTAAGTGAGTTACAGAAAATTGAAAATACAATCTAAAGCAGATTCGTAACCTAAAACTACAGAAATTTTTCTAAACATTAAATCAAAACTCGTAATGGTGCGATTTAACTTCGGCTAGCAAAATGACTAATGCCAGAATACCAATTGTCAAAGCTAAGCGAGAGAATGTAAACTTGCGAGCTGTCAAAAGCTCTATATCTAAAATATTTAAAACCCTCACCTTAAATATTCCTAACTCATTTGCATTCTGGTGAAGGCTAATGAAAATTAGATGTTTTATGACAAATTAAAATTATAAAAAGGCTTAATTAATATAAAATATACTCTACGAAATTAGATCCTAACCGGTGAAGTATCGCCGTTCATTCAATAATTAGAGCGAGAGGTTGTATAAAAAAGTGCAAACATAACCCCAGTCACTAAATATTATATAAGGGTTAGTCACTAATATTATATAAGTCACTAACCACAGTCACTAAATATTTTATAAGGCACAAGTTAAGGCTATTAATGAGTAAATTACATTAATTTTACGTTAAAATGTTTTAATAAAAATACTATACTTTTCTTTAATCTTTACAAGAAAGTGTCTATCTAGATGCTCGCACATTCCACTGATGAGAATATTTTACCTTGCATTCTTCTACTGCTTTACATCAGTGGTCTTTACTCTTGCTTCATGCTTTACATCAGTGGTCTTCACGCGGAACCCTTGGAACTACAAGGCGTTCATTCAAATCTAGATGCTCGCACATTCACTGATGAGAATATTTTACCTTACTTTCTTCTATACTGCTTTACACCAGTGGTCTTCAAGCTCTGTCAACTCGCGTAACCCTTGGAACTAAAATAAGGCGTTCATTCAAATCTAGATGCTCGCACATTCACTGATGAGAATATTTTACTTTATTTTCTTCTATTGCTTTACATCAGTGGTCCTCAAGCTTTGCCAACTCGCGGAACTCTTGGAACTATAAGGTGTTTATTTTATTGCTTTACATCAGTGGTTCTTCTATTGCTTTACATCAGTGGTCCTCAAGCTTTGTCAACTCGCGGAACCCTTGGAGCTATAAGGTGTTCATTCAAATCTAGATTGCTCACACATTCACTGATGAGAAAATTTTAGCTTATTTTCTTGTATTGCTTTACATCAGTGATCTTCAAGCTTTGTAAACTCACAGAACCCTTGGAACTAAAAGGTTTTTTTTCGGTAAACCTCATCCCATCCTTAGAAAAATATTTCTTAAAAAAATATTTAAAATGGATTAATCTATTACAGATACTTTATTGTAAAGATTAGAGAAAACTATAGTATTTTTATTAAAACATTTTAACATAAAATTAATGTAATTTACTCATTAATAGCATTAACTTGTGCCTTATATAATATTTAGTGACTGGGGTTATGTTTGCACTTTTTTATACAACCTCTCGCTCTATTGATGTGATCTGAAATGGCAATTTATATTCTGTATTTAATTTGTTTTAATAGCCACATGCGTTGAGAAAGACTTGAATATACATTATTTCGAACAGCGTTAAAATATTGATAGTTGTGTGAAAAATTTCTGGATGTTATATAAGAGTCTATAGTCAAAAATCTAAGAACTGCTCCTCATTAAATTTAAACCTGTTGATATGTTAGTAAGTGAATCCTTTTCCTTCACTGACAAGCCTTTTGACTTATTTTAGTATTCGGAGAGGTTTTTTTTTTTTTTTTTTTTTTTTAAAAATTTTCTTTTTTTTTTTCTTTCATCCCGTTATTGCTTCACATTCTTCTGGATATTTTATATTCTTTTTTTAAAAATAAACTCTTCAATGTCTTTATTTAAACTAAACACCCTTATATGTAATAAACACTAATTAACCAGTGTGAGTGCTTTATAATTATCTTTTTTAATTTTTATTTTGACTTATATAACCCTGGGGTTTGACTCACGGAACCCTGGGGTCCCACGAAACACAGTTTGAAGACCACTGTCCCTTGTCCGAATACTACAATAAGTCAAAAGGCTTGCCAATGAAGGAAAGGAATTCACTTACCGACATATCAACAGTTTCGACGTTAAAATCTAAATTTAATGATGAGCAATTCTTAGATTTTTGGCTACAGACTCTTGTAGAATACCCAGACATTAACAAGAGGAGTGAAATACGCAATCGAAATATCATGTTACTAAGACACAAAAAATAGTACATAATGTAACAGACAACATAACGAGGGACGGAAACATATTACGTGAAGTATATTTGTCCACTGATTATTGTACAGGGTGTTTATAAAGTCCCGGACCCATTTTGATGTTTAATAACTCATAAATTAATAAAGTTAGATTAAAATTAATAACATAAGTGGTTAGATAGACTCAAAAGTTTCATGACCCTTATCAATGAACTTCACGTGTGCCCCTCGTCGCACGGAGAATATCAATTCGATATTCAATTCACGCCGATACCGGCAAGCTGTCGGCATCCAAAGACTATTTAGTGTAATCGGGCTTTTCAATATGTCTCATGTTCGACACTCTCCTCCTGTAAACGTTGTCTTTACAAATCCCCAAGGAAAAAGTCCATAAACATTGCATATTGTCAAAACAAAACAATGAGAGAAAATGGCAATATAAGCAGACGAGATTTATAAAGTCCAGATATTAGACTGGAAAATAAAATTATCTATATTAACCACACGCGCAGCCGATATTTACAAAGTAAAGATATTTCAAACCTGAAGCTAAATATCAGTTATTCCACCAATAAATGTCATAAGTTTATTTATATGTTTATTATTTTATGAGTTATTAAACATCAAAATGGGTCCGGGACTTTATAAACACCCTGTATACAAAATTAAAATTTGCTATACCAGAGATTTGTGAAAGTACATTAGAAATATAGTATTCTATCGAAATCAAACAAAACCAGGTAACATACTACAACTTTACTCCGCATGAAAAAATAGTAAGAAAAGACAGCTGACAGCAGCTATAATATTTATATAAATGGTGTATGTAAAAGAAGTTAGGGAAACTCCCACTAGAGTGAGCATATCTATTTAATGACATATAAATAAATGCAAATATGCAAATCATGCAATAAATAATAACCGAATCGAATTATTAAACGTCGGAAAAGTAAAAAATATAGTAGCATTTTACATTAAATAAATAGATGATATCTCTTTAATTTGTATTGAAAGTGAATAAATGCAATTGTCTTCTGTGTTAGCTGTAACCGTAATCCCATGCTCTTGTTCGTTTTCAGAAATCTCGAGAAGCAAAGAAATTACTAGAAATTTCTCGCCACTAATTGAAAGCTATAAAAGACGGGGAGAGACTTCTCAGATCAGTTGTTCACTTAGTTGCTGTTGTTGCGAATTAAAGTTCCGTACCAACTGAGATAAATCGAAGTCAGCTTTCTCTTTAGACAACGCTTTGCACTGCACTGTATTTTAAAGTTGTTTTTCCCCCCTAGTTTAAAGTGTAACTACGGATTATATTGCGTGATATTTTGAACACTTGTACGAATATCTCTGAGGAAACTTCAGGCATTCTGTTACATTTCTTTTGATAAGACTAAATTTTATTAATCTTTTATCGGACTTGTGAATTCAATATATTAAGAATGCAACAATATTGTTAATATTCTTTCTGAAATTCTCTGTTTAGTTTCTCTGCTGTGACTTTAAAAAATTAATTATTAACATATGTGTTTTACAGACTCAAGAAACGAACTTATAAATCGAACTATTTAGATGATGATTCTTCTTCTATCTCCCTTGTAAGTATTCTCATTGCATTTCGTTGCTTCTTCTGTCTAAAAGGAAGGAGCAAGTACTTGGAAACAGATATTTTATTAAGAGTTATTTGATTAAGAAAGCTGTGCTGCGTTAAAATTGCATAAAAACTGAGATCAATAATTTAATTTTGAATATATATATATGTAATAGATTCTGTAGTAGAACGCTATCCATAATGAACTGCAAAAATTTTGATGGCGTAGAAGTGTTATCCATTGAATAGGAATAGGAGTGTTATCCATGAATAGGAAATTGGATGCGAAGGCAGATTAAATCTTCACTTTTTATTTCAGCAACATGTTGTGGCCGCAAAGAAGTTGACACATTAATCGTGCCTATTCCAAAAAGCTTACTTTTTAGATAAATTTTCAGCAAGATAGAAGAAGCAGGCAGACAGCAGTCCAGCTACGCCAAAACGTTGAAAGCAAGTGCGTTATGTTCAGGGTGAAATCTTAATTCAGAATGAGTTAGTTTTGGTTCTCAGTGCATTTTGATTGGATAGTTAATATTACTGTAAAATCAACATTGGCTGCGTGCGTTTTAGTTCCATTTACATCAACAGAAATATGTAGGAGTCATATGGCATGGATTAATCTAGAAATGAGGCAGTGCAGAGAGAGGTTACTATTTTTAGAATTGAGAGCAGTCTACGTTGCTAATTTAATCTTTTACAGATTCTTTATTTTTCTTACATATATAAACTTAAAGCATTTAAGTTCATTATCAAATTGGAAATATATATATATGAAATGTAATTTCTCATACATTATTTGTTTTGTGCAGCCGGGGCAACAGGAATGAGACAAATTTTGGAATATAAAGTGGTGTATTTTAGCATCCATCTCACAAGCGTTTCTTTCGTACCTTGAGCAGAAGCCCTATTTATACCTATGTGTGCGTCACGAGGCTCATCCAATCAGCGATTTATGAGTTTGGCGATTTGGCGGGCGCAAACAGGTTAATATATTTTATACTAAAGAAAGGATTTCGCCAAAATTTAGGAACAGGGATGCAATTTAGGTAGAGAATCGCCAACACATTATTAAGCAATATTATTAGAATTTAATTTAATCAATTGATTTAAAAATATCATTACATCTATAAAATATGAAAAGAAATTACTAACAATTTAGTAATTTAACTTGGCAATTTCCCTTTTAATTCCAGACTTTATTTTAGCTACATCCACTTCAAAGAAACGGTAGTGCACTACTTGTATCTGTAGTGATCTGCAATTCTGTAATGCATTTGCTTACCATTCTAAACTGAAGCGAAGGAGCCAAGTTTATAAATACCTCAGATGCTGAATATGCAGTCGATTTCTCTCCCTTCTCTTGCCTACCTAACACCGATCTCCTCGCTTTGATATTTTCATCTATTTTTTAAAGCTATGAAATGCATATATGAAACGGTGGGGCGCTTATGTGTTGAGTAAGCTAAGTAAACCCCCTTAGTGTTGCGTAAACTAAGAAGGAATGCCTTAAGATATGTGCAAGAGGTTATTCGTCAAAAAAAGTACTGTTCTGACTATCAAGCTATTTTCGAAGTTCCTGTCATCTAATATGCAATCTGTGTGTCTGCCATGTTAATCACTACTAAGGTTATGACTAAAAAGTTAAAAAGTTAATGTGTGCTTTCTTTCATCAAGAACTAAGTAATCATACAGGGTGTTACAGCAATTCAGTTACTAACTTTCAGGAAAGATAGAGTAACCTAGACAATGGAAAATCACATAACAATGCATGGTCGGAAACGCTTTCCTGGCGCAGTAGTGATAACACAACATAAGAATGGATGGACACGAACAGGGAGAGAATACAAATAATTATACTCAGTGCAGCTAAAATGCTGGGAATTTTAAATATTTGCATGCATTAGCAGCCTTGATGTGCGTCTCCAACTCAATAATGCAACGTATCCTAAACATTGGATCGGCAGGGGTAGTCCGGTGCTTTGGCCAGCAAGATCGCTACACCTCACTTCCATTGACTACTTTCTCTGGGAGTAAGTCAAGAAACTGGTGTACGAAACCCCTGTTAGCAATGCTCAGAAACTTGTCGAACGCATCGTGGCAACTGCTGCGGAAGTCCGGGACATGCCAGGTATTTTCCAAAACATCAGGTCTTCCATGCGCCGTAGATGTGAGGCCTGCATCCCAGTCCGGGATCGTAATTTCGATGGCCGGAAATTTAATTTTTTCTTTGATAACAATTTTGTCGGCTTTTGTTTTCATTTCTTGGTTCCTGCTGCTAAGCATAATAAACACGTTTTTTCACCTTATTCGTGTCCTTTCGTTTCTTGCTTTTATGTCATTACTACTGCGCCAGGAAAGTATTTCTGACCATGCATTGCTATGTGAGTTTCTGTCGTCCAGGTGTATTCTATTTCTCCTGAAAGTTTGTAACCGAATTGCTAAGACAGTCTGTATCTATCTATATATATATATGTGCGTGTAGTTTAATCTTAAATTCACTTAGTTTGAAAACAAGTTATGCTAATACTTGTGCAATAGCTAATACTTGTGCTTATACTTGTGTTATGCTAATACTTGTGCTTACTGCAAAGTAAGATAATAATAATTTATTTACTAAAGATATATTTATTATATTAACTCATATTAATTTTAGTAGAAGTGTCTAAAAAGAGTGAATCCATAGGTAGGAAGTTTAATTCCGAAAATTGTTTTAAAGCAACTTGAAAGTAAATTGTTAAAAATGTTTTACGGAGACTTGATTTAAATTATGAATAACAAAATTTCAAACTTTTGAAAAAGAAATTAAATTAAAAGTAAGTAATTATTGCTATCGATCGGAAATTAGTTGACTTTTCAAGGGGAACAAACCAACTCCCGTTCAATGAACAATAATTAATAAATACGAAGGTGTTTCGTCTTTTACTCAAGTAATAATGGGGATGCTAAACTGGCAAATTACGTTATGCCAAATAGTTCCGTGAAGTAAAGGGATTTAGAACCAAAGTAGAATATCAAATAACTTATTCTGAATTAAGCATTTTCGCTAATACAAATTTTGACTGAAAAGCAATTTATGTAGTAAAATTGATAAAATACTCACTTTTTAGATACTTCTACTAAAATTAATATTAGGAGATAATATAATCAATATCTTTTTAGTATATGTAGTGAAATATATTCGCTTCGCTCAATAAGACTTCGCTCAGCAGAAGCAGATTTCTGCGTTCGTAAGGAGTTGAAAATGAGAATTTAGAGAAATATGTAATTAGCATTCAGATAATGTAAATAGCTTTACCTGTAATATCACAGGCTGAAAATTACTTCGTTTCACATTTCAGTGCAATTAATTTATTGTTAACTTTTCATAACAGTTTTGCTGACTGATTTTGTATATGATGAATGGTACTTACGTATTATTCCGTTGACCGTGTAAGTTGGCTTCATCGAAATATGAAAGCTGATGGAGATCCTGCCGAACGTTAAGCCAATCCTTCTGTGGTATTCTAATCGAACTGACACCTCTTTATTTAATACGCAATAGGTATTTGAACCGATTTGTTTTTCCGTTTCCTAAAAAAGCTTCAGCCCATGCCCACTATTTGTTAGGTCTTCCGATTTTACACAAAATTCGCTTTAGAAGGGTATAAATACAAATCGAAAACGTTTAGCTGACTATATCGTGTCCATTAATATGCACGTTCTTCATGACAGGTCAGATGACTTTGAAAATAATCTACTGTCTGCTGTTCTGGAGAAAGAAGTTTATAACGTTGCGCACCTCCCACTTGCACGCAACCAAGAGGTGACTGTGAAAACTTGTATAAAAGATAGAAGCTTGTGAAGGGTTTAAGTCCCTTTTTATTCAACGTAATAAATTACAATTGCGTTCTCTTGACGCTTACAGACGGTGCCAACTTGGCAGTCAAATAAAAATAATAACCTGAAAAGAAAATAAAGACAAGATTCTAACTACGAGGCTCTCTAAAATAACTAACTCACCGCGTTTTACAATACCGCTGCTAATTCAGCAGACTTGAAGCTCACTGAAACAATTTCCACTACTTCCCGCCAAGCACACAGGCCGCAACGCGGGGTTCTTCAAGTCTCGCTAACTACCTCCGAGCTCGCTAAGTAAGAATATATCACCGAACTCGTTTCCTTCTATTTAAATCATACTACTTCCGCTGATAATTTGAATCCTTGCGCGTTCTACTCAAATTTACATATTCTGGCATTGGCAGTTCCAGGGGAAAGTAAGGCTTGACAGGAAAGATAGTTTAAACTTAAAATAAATGTTAGTTAAAATAAATATAAACCCTACATTTGCCGCTGCCAAAATTTGGAAAACTTGGAAGCAGGTCCTACAAACGACCTGTTGTAAGTTTGTCTAATTCTGAACTAACTGGCGAGAACCTCGTTTACACAAAAAAAATCTCATGTAACAACTATATACTAAATTCTGTTGATCGTTACAAAGCTGTCTTCTTACAGCAACTTTTCCTGGACTTCATCAATCAATCTTGGTCTTTCCTTCCAGCATCTGGAAGGAATAAGTATCAGTATCTTTCTAAATACATTATAATTTACACTTTCTTGACAATAATTTTTTGTTTTTAAACAATTCGTTTTTCTTAGGTATTGCTTAATTCACATTCATTCAATTTTTCAAGCATTAATTTAACTTTACCCTGGCTCTCCACCGTGTGTGGTGTCAAACGGGAATATTCGTGTTTTAGTCTTACAACACTTCCCCTAACCACCATGATTTGTTAGAATTCAACGACCAACTAGACACACCTTTCTCGACATTCTACAACTCAATGAGCTACTTTAATAGTCTTAAAAATTCAAATGTAGGTGGAGAACCCTACAAAACACATTCATTCTAACTTCCCCCTCATTCATCTTTAAACATGCAGGCTTTCGCTCTAAAGCATGACTTTACAGTTTAATACTTAAATTTTGACTTCCTTGCTTTTAAGCATTCACTTTTAGCATCTACAATTT